AGGGTTTTTTCTTTAACACATGTAGCAACCTAACAGGTTTTAATTACCACACCTACTTCAGTGACGAGCTGTTCCACTCAAACACCCAAACATAATATTTACAACGTTGTGTGGTTGTTAAGGATCTTGATGATTGATGGAACCCATTGTGTTGCCATCTTAATAACAACAAATGCAAGTGATTACCAACACGGAAGAGAGAATCTGTATTTTTATTTTACAACAAAAGGCTGTCCTATAGGGACTTCTTTTTCAACATAAACTAACAAACCTGTGCACATGTGAATGCCCTTTAGAGCTTGGCACAGAGAGCCAAAAACAAAGCCTCTGCTGCTTTAAGGACAATGCATTTTTTTGTATTAGCTTAAGAGAACATGAAAGCTGTCAAAAGAGCTGGTACAGTTTTTCACAACCCTGCAGAATTCATCTTGACCACAAGGATATATCTAAAAACTGCATCAGAAAGATAGGACAGATCTTGTTTCCAAAAAAAAAAAAGAAGAAAGAAAGCAATTGAGTCATTGAGTCAAATAGGAATACAATACAATTTCCTGGCATCACTACTGAATATTTATATCACTGACGAATGAGACTACAAGCGAAGTATCTTAACATGAAGCTTTGCCTTGTTAACTGCATGATATGCCAAAACACCACCTACTGTAAATCACCCAGTTTAAGACCAGTATTTCTTGTTTAAACATGCTACTTGTTCAGCAGAATCACTTGTGTGAACAAGCATACATTAATGTACACTAACTAGAGCAGTTTCACTATCCATCTGATAAAGTATAATTTAACAACCTCATTATCAGCATTGTAATTTTCAGACTGCTGAAATACCATATTCGTTGCAAATATTATATGGTTGAAACACTGTAACAACATTGCCCATTTGACACTTCTGTCAGATAAAATGCAGATAGTCATTTGTGCATTGATGAACGTGCTTTTAATCCTATAAAGAAACTTTCTCTGTCAAATTATAAGCGTTTCAGCAGTTGACTTATGAACACTATAATTAAAATCCTTATGCCTTAAAGAAAAACAAACTTCATTATAACAACAGCTTTCTTTCACATTTTAATCTTTTTATATTTGGAGTTTGCTTTCATGTGCTGCTATTAGCTATCAGTTCAGCGTGCCATTTCTGGGTGCCAAAACCAAAAAAAAAGTATTTCTCTCTCTAACCTGGTCAAATCTCAAAGTCTAGGTAAGTACCCAAAGGGATCAATGTTTATTTAATGCTTCTACAATGCATTTGTGGGGGAAAAAAAAAAATCTGTTATTTTAACAGGTCAAGGACAAACATCATACAATTCAGTGCTTCCCGTTTCTAAGAAGGCCAGAAATGCTGCAAAGTCTGCCAAAATACTTCTTTTCCTCCTGTAACTGTCAAAACAAACAGTTTGAGGAGATACAATTTGGGGGAAAAGAGCTGCACTTCTGTAGTGATTCTGGTTCAATTTAAATTTCAGGCAGATTCTCTAGAAGGGGAAGAGATTTCTATTTTATCTGAACAAATTAATGCGTATCATCCATTCCTTCTTGCAGCACCCATCAGCAAAGCAGCAGCAGGTTTCAGCTTCCTAAATTCAATGCAATTCAAAATTACACAGAATTTACACTACAACCACCATAACTGAAAATTATGCAGTTACACATTAGCATCACTTCTCTAATCTCTGTCCCTAAATCCCAGAAAAGAACAATTCATTTACAAACTAAGAAAGTAATCTCGAATCAAATCCTGAAGCTTGTCAAAAGTAGGATCATCTGAACAATTCAGTAAGAAACTCATTTCAAAAGAGGCAAGTCCCCAATCAAGTCTGCTGCTGAAGTCTGGGTCCCTTTCACATAGTTTTATAACAAATCTGTTTTGAAGTGTTATAAACATCTCAGAAAAGAAATTAAAAGGAATAATGGCTGAAGAAGGTCTCCCTGGTGGGAGTCTTCTGACTCTAGAGGGTTATCTGACTTTTTGGCCACTATTTCCAAAAGGAAAAAAGTTCCTGAACTCAGCACTACACGAAGCTGAAAAGCTCATTGTGTAAAAGATCAGGAGAAAATACTATTCTTGCAGACAATTAAGACAACTGAATGGAACCACAGTACTATTGCTCAGCAGAGAGGTTGAAAATTTACTCCTCAAATATCATCTCTAAAAACACAACAGATTAATTTTGTTATCCTTCTAAGAAGCCTCTGTAATGCTCAGCTGGGATAAAACAGATCATGCTGCCCTCTTGTGCTAGACATGCACAGGAATCAACCCCTTTTTATTCCTGCAAGCGACATGTGAAGAGCAATATATGAAGCCTTCGCTACAAAACAAAAAACATCCACATCTCCCTACTTTACAGATGCTTTGACATTCATGTCATTCCCTTACTGGGATATGGGTAGAAGAGCAAAGGAAGTTTCCAGAGAGCCAAATTCTACACACAAAAAAATAACTTCTGTGAACAAATGCAGACAAGTCAAATGTAATAAAACCCAAAATACTAACAGTTCAACTACCCATCAAGCTTTCACAACAGCTGTGTAAGTGATGCAGTAGAGATACCTGCTGATAAATTAGAATTTCAGTCATAAATAAATGGCAATTTTTTCTGCATGCTGGGTAAGACAATGTACTTTGGTCACTTAGGATTATCAGCTCAGTAGGGTTAGGCTAAACACTTAAAAAGGAAAGAGAAAGACAGTCATTTAATAATAAGGTTCTTTCAGTGCAAAATATACAGTAAAGTTTAATTCTTTTTAGACCTATGCTGAATTTAAAGGTGAAATCTGTGTACATAGAAATATTTTTGGCTAGGAAGGGAGACAAGAGAGGGGTCCTTTTATTCTTTTTCTCTCTCTGCTATCTAATCCAGGTTCCAAAAATACATTTACTTTCTTCTGTCATCTGGATAAAATGCTAGTAACTATTCCCTTTACAACCTACCCCTCCCCATATATTGCTAATGCAATCTGTAAAGAGAGATCTTGGGCTTATGCCTAAACTGATTCACAAAGCACAGTTTTTTTAGAAATAAGTCATCTCATTTATTCACCAAGACTGACTGGATCTACACTGTTGGGAGCTGACAGACATGTCATGATTCACCACGCATTTCCATTTCCTAATGTCGACTCCCCGATGCTCCTCGTTACTCTGCTTCCCCAATAAGCACCACCAAGAGCTTGGGATGTTTGTTTATTTAAGTTACCTACTCAACTCTGGAACACAGATCACCGTGTGTTAAAAATATTAGCCGTGGTATTTTTTAATCACTGATTCTTTTTTGATAAATGAAACAGCAAAATTCAGTTCAGCAACTGCTTCTGCTGAGGTCTTAGAGACCTCACACTAACACTGAGAACATGCTGGATGCTTAAATGACAGATCTGACATTGCAATATTAGCTTTGCTAATATGGGATACAATAACTAATAGCTTGGTTTAGCTATTACAATCAAAAGCTAGAAAAAAGCACATTTAAAAACTTCAATTTCTTTTTAGTATGTCTTTCATGGGCATATTTAAAAAAAAGATGGGGAAAAAAAATCCCACCTCAATGCAAGAAATAGCATGTGAAGTTCTAAAAGGAAAATAAACAGTAAAAAAACCCATGTAAATCAGACAATGAAATACAGATATTACAAACAGATTTCAGAACTGCTAAATGCTGCAATTCTGAAGAACATTGTCTCATGTGTCATCTTTTTACTTCTCTTTTTTCCTTTTTTCAAATAATGCAGAGATCAGAACAGAAGTATTTTTGCATGCCATCCTGACCAAAAGAAAGATGAAGGGAAAGAAATATATGCATCTTGAAGTTAATCCTCTATTACAAAATATCTGTTGATTAACAGAAACACACATCTAAGTCACAAAAGTGTGTGAATACCAGCGACAGGCAGATTTAAAGAATGTCAGTTTTACAATGCACTGCTAATTAAAGCTTCATAGTGTTACAAAGCAAACTGGTGTTACTCTACATTGTTGCTGATGTTTTCTCTCTAGTTCTTGGTTTGTTATTATGAACCAGATTTATGGGCATTCTTAGAAGATCACTCTGTATTTGCTCAAAAATGAAGTTGCTGCATTTGCTGTGCACACATACACAAGAGAGAAGAGGAAAACTGACACATCAGCACTAGGACTTCTTCTCATGCATGCGCTCTCACTAGCTCCCATTTCCTGAGCTTCCCTTCTAAACCTCTGCAGTGGCCTTGAATTTACATTTCCACACACTCACAGTACAAGCAGGCCATGTAACACAGCCCTAACTTTCTGCAGTTACAGGGGTGCTCTTTAAGATTATATTGTACCCATTTCATTCATCCTATCATGGACATGAACCTCTTCTCCACATAAGTATCAATTTCCTGAAAATATTATTGTTTTCTCTGAAACAATAAAGCCATCCCTATATATCCTTACAATGAAATGTCTCCTGATGCTATGAGAACAAGTCCATTTTTTTCCAAGGGAGTGAAGACCATCAGGTTTCTGGTTCTCATATAAAAGACAAACCTTTGGCTGGTCAATCAGTACCACCCACCTTCCCACTCTCTTCACTCTGCTCCAGCTTCTCTCTCTCCTTTCTTTTGAAGAACATAAGGATCTGGATCACAGTTTTACAAAATGCATTCACACACACTCAGCATATGGGAGACTCCCTGTGAAACTGCATCAGAACAGCAGTGCAAATACAGGTCCATGTACAACACCAAAACTAGAACTAATTCATTGTTCTGTAACCTGCACTTAAACACAGTAAGGTGAACCATCAATAAGCAGTCTGAGTTTGAAATTGAAAAGGACTACACTGTAAAATTTGAGGTGTTTAAATAAAAATTTAGATTTAGAAAGTCTAAGTAAAAGAAGCAAAAGAACCCAACAGAAGTGCAAAAATACCATCAAATTGTAATTGTCCAGAAATGGTACAATTTGTTCAATCAAGGAGATACATTAAATATTGAGGGTTTTTTTTTTTTTACAATAAACTTACCTATAGGATTTCTGTCAAAAAACAAGACAGGGGCTTTCAAAATGGACTGAAACATTTTGTTGTGCAAATTCTGACCAGAATTGACAAGAACTTGAAACACCAGAAGACTTCTTATTATGCCAAATAGTATTGTAGCCACTGTTAAACCTGAAATAAAAAATAAAAAAAAAACCCAACAAAATATGAATAGAGACTCCAAAGAGATATGGATATTTCAGGAGAAAAAAACCGTTAAAAATAAAATTGCACTAAAACCAAATTCTCTGGACTTCTGCATACAGCAAGAATCCAAACTTAAGCCTAGGGGGACTCAGACTGAGTGCAGAACACAGATACATTTGTCACTAGCTTCAGTTACTATCACAGAATCAATTTAATCCATTTCTCTTTTTCTGTTTGAAAGAACTGGTACTTCACAGAAATGTAGGAAATGTTTGTTAACCCATGAGATAAATGCATATTGAAACTTTCTGCATAACAGCGTTACTAAAAAATTCATTTTGCCGTGCCATGTATAATTGTGGCTTGCACAGGTGACTGTGAAGGTTCAACACTTGCCAGCAGGTATTAAACAAGTAATATATACATGGCTATTTAGACACAACCTTGAGTTACTCCCAATCAGTCCAAACCACTCATGCCATTCTTCCCCTTGTAAAACACACCAAATCACATAAATTATTTGTCTTTCACACCATGTAAGATACATTCCTTATGCCATGAGAAGAAACAGTCCTTCTAGGGAACTGGTGTGCAGACTCTTTGTTCCTCTTCTGGGCACGTCTCTGCTTACAAGACAAGGGTGCTACAGGGCAAAAAACTGAAATAAATAATGAGATTGCTGTTGCTCTGTTTGCTGCGCATAATCTCCAATGTGGCTGCTCAAATTCACTGTCAATAAGAGTGAACAGTGAAGGTCTAAACCTTACATTTAGCAGAGCTTTCAGGCTCTACGTGTTCTGCTTCAGAAAACAGCACAGCTACCTCAGGTCTTGAGGACATGCTGAAGTTAGACCCCAACTACCAGCAGAAAACCTTGCCTATTCTCAGGGCAGGTTAAAATCCTACACAATTCAGGAACAGCTATAGTAACAGTGGGAAAGAGGGAGGTTTTAAATTATGGGAAATGGTTAAGCTGTGCCATATGCTTCCTTCTGTATCCTCCCAGGGAGTAAATAAAGGTATCATCACAATTTCATTTGTCTTCTTGCAGTTTATTGCTCACATTCTGGTGGCTGGGATGAGAGTTTTTTTGCCTTGTCCCAGCTGCTGTACCCCAGGCCAGGAAAAGACAATTTTTCCAAGAATAACTGCACATACCCAAACAGGAAAGCTGGGTCATGCAAAAGGGGAGCAGGAGAGGCATGAAGCAGGAGGCTGTGGCACAGCCCATTCCTAACTAACAGCAGTCTCTGGGAGCAACACGAGGAGAGGGACCACATCCTGGAAACCCCACATTTCTGTACAGCTCTACTCAGGCCTGGTAGCTGCTGGAAGCTGTTGGAACAACCCTCCCAGAACAGACCTAATGGTTGGGGAGAAGGGAAACAAGACGCCCTTCCAAGTCCTTCACTTGGTCTGGCTCTGCTTTCCCTGTTCATGAGCTCAGAACCTCAGTATGAGAGAGACAAGGGCTCTTTGCATGTTTGCCTTATAGAAGAGGTGTGGAATTAGCACCCATGTCTGGCCAGCAGTGCTCCCTATTAACAGCAATTTTACTCTTCAAAACCTTTGTTTCACAGAAGCAACAAGGACTAAGAATGAACTACTACAGTGGGCTCGTTTTTTCAAACATTGACAATCAGAAATAAAAATGTTGAATTGTTTTATACTCTTTAGATTATAAAAAAGGTAAGTTGGATTAGTATGTATTTCCTGTAAAATGCACTACCTTTTTATAACTTTGTCAACTCCACTTACAATTTTGTGTAGGTAAGTCAATGCTGTCTGTTCAACAATTGCAAATATTGAACAGAGTCAACTGTCATCTAAAAGTTTCAATATAAAGGTAGCTTTTGTTGTTCTGCTATCTAGAGCAAAATATTCCTTTAAGAATAAAATTTTCACTAATGTGGTTTAGGCTACCTGGTTAGAGAAAGGGAAATTTGCCACATTTAATCACACTGTGCAGTCCACTGGAACAGTTCAGGAAATAAGACATTACACAGAGAAAATAAGAGCCAAGTTCATCTGGCTCCTAAATTGTTGCTTCCCAGGCCAAACACAATGTTTTCTGTCAGCCACTCAGATCACGTGGATTCCAGAAAACAAACTAAACAAAAAATCCTGCACCTATTCTCTCAGCCATGGAGATGTTTCTGAATACATTCAATGCATATTCCTCTGGCATTCCACCTGTTTTCTCACACCAACCATTTACATCTCCATGAAGAAATTACCATGCCATACAAAACCATGCATCACTAAGAGTGTTAAACAGCAGAATCTGAGAGCATGCACATGATTCTTCTGTGGCAATTTTTACTACATCTCAGAGCAGTTTTTCAAGATGTTTGGATGCCTGAATGCAAGGATCAATGCCCTTTTCTGAATATTCAGAAGCATAATGCTACCTATTGAAATATATTGAAATGTTTTTTAACAACCTGCTTTGCATACCCATCTAGGATGCCTTTTAAAAGCTTGTTCTTTTTCTATGGCACTTCAGAAGAAATGCAGCCATGCCAAGTTTTAGAACAGCACAGAACAAAGATCCATTTCTAATCCCTCTTGCCATCCATATAATGACTGAAGATGTAGCTCAATTACTTGCTAATATATAGACAATAACCCCAACCTTAATGTGACTGACTTTTCAGATACTCAATTCCTGATTTATTTTCCAAAATCCAGCCAAAGCAATTAAAGATTCTGCATTCAACCTATTTCTTCTGTCAGATTTATTTTTATTTATTGCAATCTATTTAATCAGAAAACAAGACTCAGGCTTTTAATCTGTTAAGACATTGCTCAGTTACTGCTAGAAATCACATTTCCCCACACATTGCTTTGCACCTCTCAATAATCTTTATCAGATAATAAAAAGTTCTTAAGACACAAACATACACACACACATGCATGTGCAATTACCTGCATAAATTCCCAAATAAAAGTTAAGGTCTAGATCAGGCACTTTTGTTCCATTATTTCCATTTGTTGTGAGATTCAACTTTTCTTGATGATTTGCCCTGTGGAAATGCACACAGAAGATAACCATGATCAAATAAGTGCATTTAGCTGTTTCTAGATTAAATTCTTTAGTTGAAATCTTTAGTTCAAAAGATCTCATGTATTGATACTGTCATGCATCACAACATGAATAGATGCAATTACAGTCTATACTTAGCAAAAAGTTTTAATTTTTTCCCCCCCAAAAAAGAAGTGTAAATCAGAGGAAGATCTGAAGTATTCTAGAGCAGGTTCCATTCCTCTTCAACTAAACAAACAGCACTTGACTGAAAAGGCAGAAACAACCAGCCACTTTTTATCACCAACTTACCAGTAAGAAAGCCACCAGTCCTGGAGCACATAAGCCACCTTGAGCAAAAGAAGCAAATACAAGAATCATCTCACAAAATTAAAAAAAAATTAGAAAATTAAATTTCCTTGCTATTCTTTCAAGCTCTCTGGGAAAACATCACATATTCAGAAAAGTATGCCATCCAGTCTTTCAAGACCAGCAGCAATTTGCCAAGCACATTAGAAGGTGCTCTACAAAGAAAGAAGTTACCTTAAATTACCTTACATGTTAGCAAGCTAAAGGAAAGCAATACACTTTAGCAAACAAAATATAGTAGCTCTTCCTAATGTATGTTAATTGAACTTTAAAGAACTCATTTTCTCAGTTCCTAAATTTGCTACAAGAGATATTCCAAAATGCTTTTTGATTAACAAACTTTCTGATGTTACCAGTCCAGAAATTTGTGTTTACAGGAGATAATTACCAGAAACAGGGTTGAAGGAGGATGAGAGAGGAGAGGGAGGGAAAAATTCCTTCTGCCACCTTCCTTCTGTGACAAATGGTGACTACAAACATGTAACAGGGTTATTATCTCAAAATACACTTCTGTTCATGTGAATTTGAAGTTGTGGGCAGAGAGAGATCTACTACAGATCTACTACAGAGATCTGATCTTGCTTAGCTAACTTTCCAACAGACTCAATTCAAGGACAAGCAAGAAGTAAGATGTTAAAATATATAGACTATTTTTTTTACAGCCAAGAAAAATAATTTCCATGAAATGAATTTGAGCCTTCTCAGCAAGAAACAGAGAAAAAGGTTCACGAAAGGTATCCTCACCCAGCTTCCTCAGCTCACCATTGCTTTCAGTAAGTCTGTAAATAACTTTGTTTAAAAACTCATTTACATACCTGCTACAGTCTGCATCACACAAAATATTTGCCTATGCTCTTCCTTACTTTCTCATTCTGCTAAACAGTGACCCTCCACCTAAACTTTTCACATGATCTGCACTTACCAACAGGTGAGCTGCTCCTTGAACTCTTCTGCCAGGCTCTGTCCTCCCACACCCAGTACATCTCTTTACCCTCCTCAACTGGAAACATTCTGACTGTTTTTTAACACCACTTTATACACCTTATTATTTTCTTCTCTTTCTAAACAAAGTACACTGGCTTATAATTTTCATGCCATGTTGTCACCAAAATAATTATTTTAGTGAGGTGTAAAAATTGTTGGAATAAGGATCACTGCAAGACCTCTCAATGTTGTACCAAAAATCCCATGCTGACACTTGGGTATGCTACAAAATTATTAAAGAACACCCAAACATTTTAGATTAAATATTACAGCATCAAGTATGCACTGTATTTAAAAAAAAATAAAAATAGAGCGGAAAAAGATCTCACTAACCCAAACTACATTCAATACTATTTATGACTTCCAACAACTTACCTGTGCCAAAATATTAAATAATAAGAGTATAAAAATCACAAAGTAGTTTGCTCCTGCAGAGAAGTATTTTCTGTAAACTTTAAAGCTTATTTTTCCCTCATGTCGACTCTCCTCTGGCACTGCAGCCAGTGCATTTTCACCCTGAAAGAAAGTCCATAGAATAAACCCCATCAATCTTGTCGTTACAGATTCAGACTAAGCCACTAGGTTCAAAATTAGCAAACAATTAAACAAGGAGATAAAGTGATTATGCATATAAAAACTTTAAATACTGAACTATAGCTATGACAAAAAAATTAGTCTCAGTGCCCCAAATGAAAAATCTACTCTGCAAAGCAACACTTCAAGGATTTTATTTGGCATTGGCTCACCAAATATACCACAACTTCATATATAGCCAGAAATATTTACTCTGACCACTATGTGGGTTCTTTTTTTCTTATATAGCACATTCGTGCATAACAAATTAAGGCCTTCACTCAGGGAAGATTCTGTTTTCAGAATGCAAATGTGAGCAACCTTTCCTTCCCTGAAAAGCATTTAAGGTAAATACTCTTCTACAAGTATGTACCATAATCAACCAATCTATACTTGAGACTTACAAATCATCAACAAAGTTCTAATCATCTCCTTGTAAATAAGAACAAAGCATCTATTAATAGGGAAAATAACTGAAATGACAAATGGGAAGTCATAGTAAGCAAACAATGGATGGGGGACGCTAAAAAACAGAGAAGGAAAAAATGATACAGGCATAAAGAAGGTAAAAGAACTATACAAATTAATAAAATCAGGAATCTTTTAAAATTTTTACGTATATGTATATGCAATATAAAAACTAGTGGCAATTAGTGGACATGTAACAGTTGATTTTGTTGCCACAAGGCATGGCTGTACAAGAGCAGTGGAATCAAGAGATCTGATAGACATAAAAAGAGAAATGCAACCTACAAATCCCTAAAAGGTGAGAAGTCTATCTTTTTGTTTCTCCAGCCACCACACCTTCCCACTTCTCCCCATCCCCATTCAACAGTATTGATGCTGCTAAGAAGCTTGGTACACCTCCATAAATTTAAGAGAATTTGAGACTGGAATTGCCACTGGGGCATTAATAATGTAAGTTCACTGCTTTGGAGCATAAAACAATTCCTCAAAAAGGCATTAAAAAGTCCATAGCTTTTTTTTTTTTTTTTTAAATCTCACTGCTTTTCACCATAGAGAAGAAATAGAGATAATATAGATCTACAGCATAGGGGTGACAATCATCAGGGACATACAGGGAATGCTTATTCCATGGATGCAGTGCTAGCACAAGCCTAGCAGGGTTACAGGGAGCCTGCACTGACTGATGGGAATGCAAACACACCAGCAGAAGGCAACCTCTGGTACAGAAACTTCAGGGTTGCTTTTGCATTGGGCAGGCCAAGAGATAAGGAGGCACCTGGAAGTCACACTGGCACCCTACAAAGCCTTCTGTTTCCACCACCAAAAGGGCTGCAGAGAGCAAGGCAGCAGCGTCCCAGGATCACCCCCGCAGGCCGGCTCAAGATCATGTGGGTATGTTTACGGGCATGTTGATGCCAGCCATGCAAACACAGACTTTGCATAAAGCCACAGCTTCTACATGCACTTCCCAGAGCTCAGGACTTCGGGCAAAGTGTTCATTTCAGTTCAACACTGCACAAACACACCCAATACAGTGGGACTGGTCCTTTACAGCACTGCTGTCAGAGGGCAGGCTGAAAGAAGCACAGTGTGGTGCCTCTGAACTCACACAAGGAATGCTCCCAGCACTCAGCAGAGCTGATGCTGAACTGCACAGGCTGACTCTGCTGGGTTTGAACAGCCTCACACTGAGCTGTGAGCTGCCAGCCAAGCACAGCCGGGCAGGTTCTCCACAGGCGCGCTCTCACCTGATAATGCAATTCAGTAATCCCTGAAATCCCAATGCTGCAGGGAAAGCCCATATCAAAATTTAAGTTAAAAACCAGCCAGACAAGAATCAAGACACCTCTCTCCTCTGAGCACTCACAGGTGGTTGTTCCACAGCTCCATCTTTCTGCGAGTGGACGGACGAATCCTGGGACAAGACAGAGGACTCCGAGAAGGTTCGGTTCCGAGCAGACTTCAGGTTGGGGGTTCCTGGAACTGACAGCTGCTCTACCACCTCCTCATCTTTTTTCAAAAGGGAAGCAAAGTCGATGCCAGATTTCTGGAACTCCGCATAGGTACCTTTCCCCACCATTTTACCCTACAATCAATACAAAGTTTTAGTACCTTCATTATATACTTTGCATAAAGGACAATTTTTCTTACCAGTCCTTGCTATCTCTGGGGTTCTGGAGTTGCTGGGCACACATCCCACTGCAGTAACTGAGCTGAAGCCTCTATGAGTTCCTCACTTAGAGGAGCAGAAACAAGCTCTTTAAGCTCTGACCAGAAACCTTGTAGCAGCTAACAGGGCCAACAAACAAAGAGGATGAGAACAACCTCAGTTACAGCCAGGGGAGAATCACTTCCCTGGAGAAGCTGTGGGACATGCCAAGCCCTGCAGCTTCAGGACAACCTATTAAACCACACACACAACCATGAGTCTTTTTATATTGCTCCATCCCAGGGGAAAACACCATCTCCATTTTCTGATCCTCACAGAACCTTACAAGGAGCAACACTGACCATGTCCACATTTCTTTCAGCTCTACCACAAACTCATTTCTCAAGAGCTACTGAAATTTTTCAAGCAATCTGAATGGAAAGTAAAAGAGGAACAGTGCCCTTTTGCACCATTTTGATGCATCAGAAGTAATTTCAAATATTTCACTACCCAGCCTTAAAAAAAAAACCAGGAAAAAAAGCCCCAACTGCAGTCCTTGCACTTCCCCTCTGTTGCTCAGTATCTGGTACAATGAAGATGGGAAGGAACCAGCTGTACTGAAGGCATGCTCATTCTCAAAAGCATCTGAGACTATGTCTCAGTCTTAATTTAAAAATTGATTTGTTGCAAAATTAACACAGTTCTTAATTCACACAGAAGTGTAAGGAACAAGAACAAAAGCAAAACATTAACACAGTCTCAGAGTATATTAAATTTGAAGCAAGGGAAGGCTAAAACTTTACTTCAAAACCAGACAAAGTGTTTGAAGAAATAAACTAATGCAGCTAAATAATCTTACTAATGCAAGACTATTTACATGCATGACAAAATTCAGCAACAGATTTTTCAGGGAAGGTATTCCAAGAAAAATACACTTATTAATAATTGTAAAACTTGATATGTAGTTGTAAGTAGACAGAAAATACACTTACAAACTAAAAATTAAAACCTTTTTTTCCTTCCTTAGAGTAAAAAGGACAATGAAAAAATATAAGTATAGATATTAAAATCACTTACATCCTTTAAAATTAGAATCTGATTTGCAGCACGGAGATATTGCAACTGGTGAGTGACCAAAACAGAAATCTTCTGACGTAAGGCTTGACAAATACATCTGCAAAGAGATGGAAAGATTAATGAAAATTAAATGTCCTAGAAGACTATTTATTTCTGGAAAACCTCTTCTATTCAATTTCTCAGTTTTTAAAATAAGAAGATGACCGTGCTTACTAGATTTACGAAAACCATATAAAACCTTAACAAAACATGTTCCTCATTTAATTTCTTAAGTTTTCAAGCTAGGGAAAAGCTATATAATTATTTCTGATCTGCAAAAAAAGAGGAGGCAATAAGACATTTCATTAAAGTTGTCTTAAACATTCTTGTAACAAATGTACATGTCATAAGCTGAATTGCAAATTTTTAAAAATTATTCTAAAGGAAAGAGAAAGAAGGGCAAGATACTGTGGAAAATTATGGAGAAATAGAGCCAGTAAAAGTATGTCTTCTCTGAGAGAAGCTTTCAGACCAGCTGTAACACTGAGCCACAGAGACTCTTCTGGAGAATTACACCGTACTACTGATTTAAGGAAAAAAACCTCAAAACATTCCAAAATAGTCCATAAGTGTTTATTTTTCCAGCAGGTTCACTAAGGCTTAGTTTCATCATCCATCTACTTTCAGAAATACTGCTCTGTATAATTGAAGAACAACAACCAGGTGAAAAGCCCAATTCTAAGCGAATGATGATCTGATGTCATTCGTGTCCCTTTCTCAGTGATGATACAGAGAACCCACTGAAAGCCTTCTCAGCAGGGGATGTGACTGGCCCAAGAGTTCAGACACCTGCTGGAGCCAGCCCAGCACTGCCACAACACATTTACCTGTCTTTTAAAACCCAGACAGTTCACCTTCCCTGGGACTGTCCCCTACTCTTCAGAGGCATACTTGGTTAGACTGTAAGCACACTTCATGCATGACAACAGGACAAACTGCTGCACCAGCTCCACTGTGACATTTATTACATGCACAAGCACACACACACCTGTGCACACAGTCACACCAGATCCAGACAGAGAACACCCAAAGGTTCTCCAGCCTCTCTGGAGTACAAGAAAAAGCGAGATGAAGGGACTGTGAAAGTTGCATCCTCTTCCCCAACTAAGAATCAATTTAAACGTAAAAATGTTCCTGGCAGAAGTTAAATGGGTTCTTCTCCATGTTTAAGCTAAACAGAAATTTCAACACCCTTGAAAATGTATTCCAGGGACAAGCTATCCTTGCCATTATAATTTTTTTCTCTGAAGCTCAAGTTTAAGTCCTTTGGTGCAATTTCAATCCATTACATCCCCAAGGGCCCCTAGACCAGTTCATTCCTGTGTACAAGGTCCCTTCATACTTGAAGTCCTCCAGACATGAAAGAAAAAACACATAAAAGTAATAAAGAAGTCTCCCAAATAGACTTTTCTTTTAAATTGCAGATAGCTTTCTATTTTGCCTCCCTGCCCTGGACCTGAATGTTCCTGACTACCTATACTGGAGTATGAAGCTGGTCTACACATTTTTTGAAGGGCACAAAAACATTATTTCAACTGAGACCTTACATGTACAAAACATAACAGGAGTATTATTTTACTTGTACTGCCACATACAGCACTAGTCATAAATCCCAAGGTCCTATTTCCTTAACAAGAGCATGACATTGCTGAGTCATACTGGGTTTGCCATCCAAAACACTCTACACCTCCTTTCCACACTACTGCTCCCTGCTCGTTGTACCTTCATGGACTCAACACCTGGGCACTTCACCCTACTGCACGCACCTACTAATTCACACCCCATACCCAGAACTTCACAAATATCTGTTTCCAGAACTGCCGTTAGCGTTGCCTGGTTCTCCATCACCTGAAAATGTACCATCAATGACCTTCATACATCATCAGAAACACCAGAATAAGGACAGACCTCTCTAGAAACTACATCTTTCCAATTCAACAAAAAGAAGCGAAGAGTATTTTAAGTTAACAAACTTAAGTAACAGGATGCTATAATCCGTTTGAAAAACCCACTGCACTCTGGCAGCAAACCGCTACAGAATTAAAAAATAATTAGCTTGAGCTTTGATAGTGCAGAGCATGAAGCAGGAGACACTGAGAAAGGGGCCTACAACAACACAGTGCTCCCCTATGCACAGGCTGAGTCTTTGCACTTCGTGCATACAAATCCTCATTTGTTCTTCCTTCCCTATCAGTTCTGCTTTTATTTGAGACAAGTTTTTCTTCAATCTTTTTTAAGTTTTTATCTCCAAGAACCAGCTTTCTTTCACCTCTGCAAAATGTTTCTTCTTTAATGATTCTACTTTCTTCATTACCATTCTTTCTCCCTCTCATTTTTGGAAGTTTACAAGCAATTTTAACTTTACTCTAGTTAATACTTATATTCATTTCAATGAAAATAACCACTGAAATGAAATTAAAGCACATGCATAAGTGCTCACAGGCATAAACCCTTTGTTACATTAATTTACTTCCTATATTTGTTTTCCTCTCCCTTAAATTTGAATTTAAGCAGTTTAGGAAGAACAACCCCCCCAGTTAGTTTTGCACATTTCAAAATTTACAAAATTAAAAAAAAATAGGTACTGTGCTTGCCAAAAAACCCCACACCCTACATATTCTACTCTGCTCTTTTTCTACTCTGCTGCTTCTGCTTCTATGCCTACCTTGACAATCATTTATCTCCACCTCATGACAAGTCCCAGTCACACATAAATACAACTGGTCCACAAAATCCATTTACCTATTCCAGGCATCAGGTAGCACTGGATGGCTGGAGAAAGTACACAGGGAGATGCTTCCTCTGGCATCCATTTCTAGACTCCAGAATCCATATGTTAGGAACTTTCTGAGCCAGAGATCCTGGTGTTTGCGAACTTTTTCTATGTGAATTCTGTCTGATACTAGGAATGATGTGCATACCACTCCCAAGAACCATGACAACTTTAGGTCTTTTAGGCCTTATTTTAAAAGATTTCTAAACTGTCCTGCAACTCTGTCTACTCCCACAAGCACAGAGGAGAAAGAAAGAAAGAAATCAAGCTGATAATTAACTGAGACTTGTACACAGCTCCTGTCACTGAAAAAGATACACAGGAAGTAACAATACCTAGAGAAAGGCATGCCCCAATAGACTGATGAAATATAAATCTCACTCTTAAAAACACGACTTTTGAGTCAATACTGCTGGTAGGACACAATTTTATCTCTATCTAAATGTGATCTGAAACCATATAATCTATAGCAACATATAGATAAAAAGGGAGAGTAGGAAATTCCTTGAGATCCAAGTGCAATTGAATGATTTTCTTAGAAATCCCCACCTGCTCCAAACTTCACCATACAAAGAAATGTGCTACTGGATCTGTGATGGCTGCCCCTCATTTTGAAACTAGAGTTCTCAAAATATTGGATTTCTTAAAAGTGAATTAAAAGCTATTTTTATTTAAATAAATATAAAACAAAGGCATCTTTTCATATACAAATATGTAAAAAAACATGTAACTATACTGGCAACCCCCCACTGGAAAAAGCCTGAAGCACTGCTATAGCACAGGCAGTAGCCTGTCTACTATTAACTATCAAGAACCCACAGGAAAAAAAGCAACAAATAACACAAAAATAGGAACTCTTCAGTTTATACCTTCCAAGGAATCTGACCAGGAAAGAGGAATTAATTGAAAAACTGCCTTTATCTACTCCATCATCCACAGAATGACTTGTCTGAATCACAAAGAAATTCTTAAGAGCCAAAGTCCTTTATTAATAATATCATGGTCTCTTTTCCCACTGGAGCTGTGCTACTTGCATTCTTTCTCATTTGAAAAGTATTTATATATTTAAAACTACTTACTGCAGTAGCTGAATAGAATACAGAAAAGCAGCAAATGTAATGAACCAGCCACCCACATGCCATAGCTTTGGGGAATTACTAGGAACATACCTATCTTTGTAAACACATACACTAGACACTTGTAAAAAAAATAAACTTTAACATAAAATTGCAAGAAAAAAAGGAGTGAGTGAACTGAACAATATCCACTTCAGATTCTCATTAAAAAATCCCCTGTTTCTTCCATCTCATCCATTGTTTTAAGCCTCGTGGTTTGGACTCCTGGGGGAGCAGCCTGCATGAAGTGGTGTTTTGGACATTCCTTAGCACCATGTTCTAAGAAATCATTCTTGCCCAAGTGCTCTCTGTCTTCTCCACATTTCTAGCACTATTCAGGAAGCCCTAAAGTACATGCCTTGCCTTGTTTCTCAAAGCAACTTACTGAACATAATGCTCTCCCCACTACCCCCAGTACCTTTACAGATTCCATGAAGGCCTCAGAAGACAACTTCTGTTTGTAAAAAACCCTCCCTAAAGTCTTCATGCATGACAACAGGACAAACTTGTCCTGTTGTAAAGTCTTGTGTAGGGAGGCATTGCTTGGTTTTCCTTCCCAGTACTACTCCACCCAGCCCATTTTCTAAAAAATGCTTTCATTCTACTTCTTTGTGTTTTGCTCAACCTGATCTGGAGTTGTGGTGAAAAAATGAAAGTACAGAAACAACCCCAGCTACTTGTCTGAGTTTCAAATTCTCTGAGATAACCTCCTTATTCCTCTTCATCTTCACAGGCTTATCAGCAAAACACAGTGCAATGGCTTCTATCTCCTCTATGGTTCTGCACATGCAAAAAATCCACATTTGCAGGTTTGCAGTAGAATGTAGATGCTGCCAGTGTCACAGCTCACATGAAAAGTAGAGCAAGCTGAAGAGGCAGCCTGCCCTCCTCCACAAGGCACCAGGCACTTTCTCATCTCCCTCTTCAAGAAGAGACCTTAAGACAGGTTAACAGCTCAGGTGGGTGCACTTTCAGAACTCAGGCACTGATACAGTCAGATGCTGGAGTTGCAGAGAGATCTTGTGCAGAAACAGAAAAGCAGCAGCTGAAGCCTAGAAAGTTTCAACAGGCATTAAAGGAATTTGATAGTGCATGTGAACTACAGAGGTGATGAACTCCATCTATCAGTCGTGGCAGCTGAAAAATGAACGTAAAGCCCATGCAGCATACAACTCTTACTCCACATCAGCAGACAGAAACAAACAATAGCCTTTTGAAAACATCAGTAAAATAAAGCAACATGTTAAAGGGGTTTCAGACGGTCCAGATTTGAAACTGCAAACATCAACAGGATGTACACCTTTCAAATTTAGATACTAAAAGCTTCCCTGTATGGGGAAAAAAGAACATTCATGCCACTGCTACTCAGTGCAATTTCTATGACCATTTCTACAAGATTTCTGCAAGTTTTTATGATTATCTGAGGGAGGACAGGAGAGAACAATAGTAAAACCAAATTAATTCATGTATTTGGAGCATGGAATTCAAAGGATGCAAGTACGCTAAACAAAACACATTTGTTGAAGACCTGAACCAAAGACCACTGAATTTCATCAACAGAAGCTTCTCCTTCTAGTAAATTCTAGATTATACCTTTTAACATAGAGAGCTGCAAGCTGTGAAGAAGTAAGGACAAAACACTGGCTGGGACTGACCAAATTATTCTGATACTCACCTATGTGCCTTAGATTAGACAGTGTTAGAAGGACGGAGAAGAAGGAACTCACTGAAAAGGAAACCTGACTTTTAATGAACACTTTCTTTGGAAGTGGGGAAAGGTCCAGTACCCCTCTCTTACACAGTAAATTTATACATTCTCTTTCCTGTTATTTCTGCTCTCTGCTGTCTACTCTGCAGGCCACATGCCCTGTTTCACCTTCCCAACAGAAATTTCAAGAACCAAAATTAAAAATTATTCAACAGTCTAAGACAGTTCTGTCCTCTCCTTTAGCCAGCTGAATTAAGTGCTTATTACTAGTCAGTAAAGTTGTAGCAAACTAAGAAGAGATTTAAAATCCCATCCCATTTTATTCTTCACTCAGTACTAATATTGGTAAACCCCATTATTCATAAACCCCAATACTCATGTATGAAACTCAACATTTTTCTTAAGAAAATGGCAGATATTCCCTTAAGAATATTTCTATTTATAGTATCTCCAAAACAGATTTTTACAGGGCTTTTAAAAATAAAGAACAAAGTCAACAAAACATAGAGGGGAAGAAAAAACCCCTGTATCTTCCAATTACATAAAATAAGGGAAAAACAAATCAGAAAGCGAATGTACAAAGTTTTGTGAAGAAATCCATCTCCTCAGAAATGCTGTCCCAAGTTTTTTGATAAGGAATTACAATAAAACAGTTGCATTTTATGTTAAAATAAACCAGTAACCTACTTTTCAAACAAATGTCTTCCAACTTCAGCATCCACTGCACTCAGTGGGTCATCCAAAAGATAGATGTCCGCATCTTGATACACGGCTCTGAAAGGTTTAAAGAAATGTCAGTTCAACAAAGTCTTACATTGGTTCACTTTAGTCACTGGAATCTGACAATTTATAAATTTTAGAAATAGCAAAAACCACTAGCCTGGCCAGATTTACACGGGCCTTCTGTCCCCCACTCAGAGTAGCTCCACGATCTCCTATTACTGTTAGGTCACCATTTGCCAATAATTCCAAGTCCTGTGAATGTGAAAGAACAGATAAAAATATTTTTTAAATCATTTTAACTTCAAACACTGGCAAAGCTGTTTCAATGTAGCATTTCCTATTTGGAAAGTATTAATGTAACACATTAAAATGTAAGGTTTCATAGTAAATGTAATATCTGCAGTTGCTTTATGACTCCGCACTTTCAGCAAAGGGTAACTGAGAAAGCAGAAAAAATAGATGAGATCCTAAAGTTCAGTTTTTCTACAGCTGTGCCAAAGTAAAGTGTACTACTATCCTTAGTCTTGCGAGGAATATTTATTGGCGATTCAGAAAATCAAAAAAAATACCTAACAGTAAAGTTATTAAGCTTTTATTTGAACAAAATTAGCTGTCACAAAAAATAAAAACTGCACTAATTATTATCGGTAAATTATCTTGCCAATATCCCTAAAAAACAGATTGTTTTTATTCTTACTGAAATGTATTCAGGAAAAATAATTACAACATTCATCACACAGATTTGGGACTTCAGGACTGTGGATAAAACAACAAAATTACACAGCATTCTATGTCATATTATCATATTTCCTATTCAGGAAATACAGAAGTTTTACGTTAAGCTACAAAGCATATTCTGAAAGCTTATTCACAGCTTTTATAAGACACATAAATTTGCAAGAAAACTATGAAAGCAAATCTACCATCAATATGAAGTGGGGATTTTTTTAATGCTGTTTGCTGTCTTTTAAAGTCATTAAAGCCTTAAGTTTAGACAACAGCATGACTGACTATCAGCAGGAGACACTAAAACTCTATCTGCCAAGTGTAAAAATCTTGCAAAAAATGTTCACTACAGTAACCATCTGCTTTTCACCTGTGTCGCTGCTGACAGAAATATCACAACATGCTGCACAAAACCTTTTTAGCTGCCAAGCAAAATGTCTGTTTCTTGACAAATCTGGCTTAATCCTCTTCTATATCTCATGTCACAAACTCCTTTGCACACAAACCTTTCAAATATATTTTTTCATAAAACTACTTGGGTTCAGCAAGTTCTCCAGTACACAGCCCTAAGGTTCTTTTGATAGCTGTTTGCAATGCATAATATACAGCAAACACAACACTTATTTCAAAGGAAAGCATACAGGATATTTATGAAACTAAAGCCACAAAGAGTGCTAGCTTGATCATTTGTTTTCTGCCTCTTACTGCATTTGCACACACCCCTACCATAACACATGTTAAAAATGGCTAAAATGTAATTATGAAACAAACTAATAGGGAACAGCTTTTCCCAAATTCGTCCGTGCTTCACACGTGCTATACCTCCCCCTAGTGTAAGCTTTGGGAATTAGAAGAGGATGCCTTGCACAAGGATAGCAAAAATAATTGCACGTTTCTGATGAGCAGCAGGAGTTATTTCACATGCTACTTACAACAATTCCATATATTGTACATTGCAATCTGCACCACAGGCCTGAAAGAACACTAAAATAAAAATAACAATGGAAAGAAAATACACAAAGAGAAAGCCTTACCTTTTTAAGAGCACAGACTTTTAAAACATTTTCATACTTTTCTTTCTCATATTCCTTGTCAAACAGTATATTACTTCTTACAGTGCCAGAAAACACCCAAGGCTGCTGTGAAACATAGGCAATTCTTCCAGTAACATTTATTGAACCCTTGTCTTTAGGCAGCTCACCAAGTATGGCACTTAAGAGAGAAGACTGGAAAAGATTTAAAAAAAAATAAAGTAAAAATTAAAATGTTTGGTTTAACTAAAGACATCACAGAGACTGGGCAGTGTTTACTACCATGATGGCCTATTTCACCTAGTGCTTTTCTACTCTGCTAAGAGCAGAAAAGCACTAGTACACCCTTTTCATGCAGTCATGAAGCAACACACAAAATACTGCTAAGCTCCTCACCCAAAAGGACATGGGCCTATCTTGAATGCCAGTACCCTGATGCAGAGCATGTGATTATACACATAAAGGAACTGTATATTTTCAGATTGCTAGTCTTCACATTCAATAGAGTCAAAAGCCTCATGGAATGGTGTAAATATTAAGACTTACTTTTCCAGCTCCTACAGGACCAATCACAGCCAGTAACTCCCCTCGTCTGACAGTAAACGAAATCTGTTGAAGTGTTGGGGTTTCTAAACTCTGGGGATTTGAGAAAAAGTCAGGATTTCTCAGTAATGAAATAGAAACCATCAAAATGAGTATTTAGAAACAGAAAACAATGTGCATACATCACTAACACCTACCAGTCCATATGTTCACCATATTTTCAGGCATATGATTTTTGTCTCTTCAGTAATTCACAAGTACTTTTAAAAGACCCTCATCCTTCCCCATGAACATGCAACACAGGTAAAAAAGCATTCAAGGAATAAAGAGGCCAAAGGCAGCAGAAGCAGGGCTTCCTCAGAGCCCACACATCTGAGTGGCAGCCTCAGGAACACGAGGTCTGTGCTGGCCACCACACCAGCATTCCCAGCACAACACACTCAGCCACTCTGAGCACACAGACAAATGAAGAACTGAGGGTATCGGAGCCTCAGGAAAGCCAGGGCTGTGCTTGCCCTAGTCAAGGCTCTAGCCAAAGTAAAACCATAAAAATGCCATTTGATTTTACACAACTTCATCTTGTATACTGGATTACCCTAGGAGTGTCTGTTTAATATTCCATATTTTGGTATGCCTATCCTTTACGTTATGGAAGAGCTTACGTCCCTCATAACATATGTTGCACCTCTCCTTTCAAGGTTCCAAAAATGCCTACTTGTGGAAAGAAGGATGCTCAGGTCTTTAGCAGCTATGCTAAACAGCAATTTTTAAGGACCTGGTGCAGCTCCGTCTCATTAAAACAAAACACCTTTGTAACATAATCTGCCTTCACTTGCATCTTTACCCACACTAAGCGTGACTGACACTAAAATACAAACAGTAAAACATATGCATTAAAAAAAAAACCCAAAAGTACTTTGATTAAAGGACTAAACAAAAACCCAGCCTTAAGCTCCAAAAACAGAAGAGCAAGGTTAAGAATACCTTAAAATCTCCAGCCACCTTTTGAAGTTCAAGAGGCTGAAAAGGCCACCACCATAACTCCACATAAAAGATGACACAAGCCAAAAACATTCAGGGACTGCAAATGAGGAAGCCTGCAATTCATTTCCAATTATTTGGGAAGAAAGAGAAATCCAGTATCCATCCCCATCTGTGATGGCTCGGATAGCTGGGATGGCACACCTGTGCTCACTCATGCCAGGAGAAATCCCTGGCAGGCAGCCCCGCTGCCAGAGCTCTGGGATGCACTGCAGGGCTCACAGGAGATCCTCAGGAGATCCTGCCAGAAGCTGAACTGGGCTCCTTGTGCAGCTCTGCTGAACCACTTTTGCTGCCATTAGGATTTCCACAAGGTGGCACCAACGGGATTTTTATCCTTTTCTCTGCACAACCCCACCACCCGCCCAAGCAGCAGCACCTGACCTCGAAGCTGATTCCTCTGCCCAGAGTGCACAGCTCAGGAGCTCACCTAAGTGCTAAGGTCAGGAGATCTCTACAGATTTATGACTGCCAAAGATTTTATTTTTTTTAACGTACTGTTTGTAGGAAGAGAAAATATCTCTTCCTAAATCAATGTCTATATAGAAAAAATAAATAAGCTTTCAGACACACAGGCCCTTCTTCAGGCATCTTGAGGATGTGCTTCTGTATTCACACAAGTGAAAAGACATTTCCACCCACATCAAAAACTTGAAAAAATATAACCTAAGAGCCAAAAAACATTACAGAAAGATTTTCTTAAAGTTTTTAAACTATTACTGCCATACTATACATTATAGCAGTTGGAATTTATCATAGAGCCTACACAAAAGTAGTAATTCAAGCAAACAGCACAGCCACACACACCTAAGAAACACATTATTTTTCCAAAATAGCATTCCCTATAATTAAAGACAATTTGTCCTGAATTCACCACACCTATTTTTAGGCACTAAACTGAGGCACTTAAATTAGAGCACAGACTAACACTGCAGCTAAGTACACCTGGCAGCTCATTCTCAGAAATGCCCCAGCTCCCTGTGCCCTCACAGCTTGCTGTGTCTCCTCCCTCCTTCTGCCTAACCTTGCATGTGTTGTTTATGGGACTCAGCTATCAGAAAACTGATCTCATTACAAGTGATTCATTTTCTATTGCTTTATCCCTCCAAGTGCTTCACCACAAGGTCATACAAACCAGCATTAACAACCAGCACAAGGGAGGCAACAGAGAATGCAAGGACAAGAGGACACAAGAATGATCCCTTCAGGGGAGCAACTCCTCAGCTGAGCTTGGGCAGACCTTACACATCCTACACACAAGAAAATGAAATAGTTCTGCTCACCTAAGGGACACAGAGATCATATATTGCATGAAAGCACTATACTACTCAGGCTTCTCATGTAAGGACTAAAATGACAAGGGATAAATTTGGCCTCTGCTCAAATGCTGAGATTTTAAATCTGAAGTTGCTCAATTAAGCAGACAGGCTGTTCTGTAAATTCAAGGAACATCAGTAAAAAGCTGTACTGAAGAATCCCTAGCTCCATGCTGGTATCAGACTAGCCTGTGATACTCAGATAATACTTGCCTAAGTAAAACAAGAGTGTGACCAGGAAAACAATTGGTTTTGTTTATCTTTTGAGAAACTGTAATACACCCTGTTAGGCTGTTTTCCTAAAAGTGTAGCTAATAATTCCTTTTTTACATCAAGTGATTTTGGATTCATGGGTTGCTTCTTGCTTGGTGTTTTTAGTATCACTTTTGGCACACAATCACTAAAAAATAAAAAAAATTATCATCCTGCTGTAGAGTCTCGGTACAGACATCCCAAGTGTCTTGAGAAAGCTTGCTAGTCAGGGTAGCAAGCTAAGCCTACTGCTTGATAAAGGATACATATTTATATTACTCCTTTCATAACTTGTCTCTATCAGAACTTACCACTTTTTTTTCAGTGAGCAAGTCTATAAAATTATTTTGCATCATTTTAAGAGTATATAGTAGAAACTTTCAAAGCAGATCCTAACAGTTCTGAGAGAAATGCTCTTCTCCATGCACACTGCAATTCAATATCAAAATGGAAGTTACATTAACAGTTTTGTGCATGGCTTGGTTTGGGTTTTGGTTTTAACTGAAAGGAAACCAGTAATTCCAGTCATGCTACTCTGCTTTATGCAATATAAACAACTAATAAAAAAAAAAAAAGTATTTTATGGGAACTTTATGCAACCATTTCCTGTAAATTGTTAATGGTGGTACCAAAGTCAGTTTGAGAAGAAAACAAAGATTAAGCAATACACTGCATTTTGCATTAGAATGTATTCACAAACAACTCTTTCATATCTATTAAAATTTAAAAGCTTGGTCAATGCCTCAGAAATATTGATGACACGGAGAAGTCTGAGAAAGTAAAGCAGAATAAAATAGCAGTTTTCTTTGGCAGCTACATAGCTACAAGTAGACAGATCCTTATCTGATATGTTTTCACACCTGATCTTCCTTGGGACACAACACAGGTAGGGCAACAGGGCTTGGAAAGTGAAATATGTGATGTCTTATTTGCATTACACTTATATGCAAAAGTAATGCCAGTATCCTGATCCATTCATAATTTTTAGAGCTTCCAGCACTTGTAATGGAGACTGAAGTCTCTCCTGTGTGAGGCTACTGCTAGGCTGCAAAAGCACCAACAGCTCCTCACAAACTGCTGCTTACCATAGCAATTAAAGTTTTAAAACAGAAACAGTCAACCCTTGCCTTTATTACATAAAAGAGATATATAATAAATTTATCATGTTTATTGTCCCTTTTTCCAGCCATTTTGGTGAGTTTGGTGCATTTTAAGTAGAAAAAATGTGCAGCTGAACAGTCTCAAAATACAGAGCAACAAATACATGCTGACTCGTCTCTAAAGCTTTCAAACCTTTTGTGATAAGTATAATATTGTACTGGTTCTAGACTAATGGACTGATCAAGCATTCAGTTACAGAAAAAACCCACACACAACAAGGCTGACCTTGCTGTGCTGTCCGTCCTTCGTTCCAATTTAAGTACCTCAGCCACAATGCAGTGCTGTTTAATAAAAAGAGATATTTTCCCTGAGAAACACCAAGTTTTTCATTTAGTATAGTATTGAGAAATAGCTGCTTCTAAGATGCACTTGATAGCGTCTTCAGTACTATTCAACAGTTAGCTCAACATAATGAAAGGATTCTCAAACACAAAGGATGGAACACAAAGTATCAGCACACCATACATACACACACTACATTTTAGATTTCAAATGCTGACAGCACCAATATACTTAATATGCAAGTAAATTTACCTTATCCCAAGAGCAAGTCAAATCTTGAACATCAAGAATGATATTTTCATTACTGCCATGCAGTTGTGGCTTGAAGTGTGAGACCTCATCAAGCATCAGAAAGTTCTGCAATAAAAGAGAAGAAGAGGATATTGCCTAAAGTGAGACTGAGAATGGGAAAGAACACATTTTTTGAAGGCAGCATACACAACATTAATTATGGGCTGGAAAAAACAACCACAAACTGATCAAAAAATTGCATTTCCAAGGCAATGCACAACTTCAACAGTGGACCTGTAACTAGCTAGCTCTCCCTCCCTAAAAACCTCCATAAGTGCAGACTTAATAGGAGAGGACTCTAACAACCACCTGCTCAATAATGAATTCCAGAAAGAAATAGATCTTTAGAACCGGTCCTGTCTTTTCCTTGAATCACAAACAACTTTTTAAATTGTTTAACTCCTTCTTTCCATGCAGAAGAGGTGAAACCCTCACTGCCACACCTTCTCATTCCACTGCTGGCAAAGGCTTCTGTTATTTCACTGGAAGAATAATGAGGATGCAGTAAGCAGCTGTCCATTGTCTCTGTTAAGCATTCTTCAAGTGGCCAATAGGAGACAGAACACTCTGAACACATCCTCATTTTAAGGCCCAGGTCATGAACAAAAAAAGAAACTTGCTTACATCTGTAAAGCTGGCTCACATCACTTTCACTATTGCACTCCTATTCTACATTACATCCCAGTCAGCAAACTCTTCCTTCAATTTGCATAAGCATGCACTTTGTACCACAGCCACACTTCTGCCACACCTTGCCTGATGCTGGATTTTCAATAGCCCAAACACATTTAGAAAGGAAAGGGGCTATTTCCGCAGAAAACTTTTAAGGTTAACAGCTGCCACAGTTTTATGACAAAACCTAAAAAAAAAATTTCTTTTATCCTTTGACTCATGGAGTCTAAGGACCTTAAATAGGCAGCAGCAGACAATATTTTGGGAAGAGGAGGAATGTCTTGATTGGAGAAGCCAAGAGTAGTTAACAAGTGCACAGCTAAGAGTCTGCAGATGTGAGACAGCTGCTGAAGACTCACAGAAAGCAGTAACTAAGAGGGAGCAGGAGAAGGATGTCAGGAGCCATGGGAGGGCAGGGAGATTACTGCTAGGCTTTCCAGGCACAGAAGAGGTACTGCTCAGATTCCGGCTGGTGGGCACTGTTATGGAGTGCAGTGAGAAGCCAAGCATTTTAACACAGCAGCACAGCAATCCATGGTGTACAACACACTCCTGTTAACACCAAAGAGCATCAGAACATGGTGCTGGTTCTGTCCAGCCTCAGCACTACCAATGCTCGTTCTTACTGAATTTGAGTCTTCACTCCAGCACTGAAAGCAGCCACAAGAGAGAAGCTGGGGTTCACAGCTGTCCTCCACAGATGACAGGGTACTGCAGTGTGAAACATGAATCCTAGAGCTCCCATCAGCCTGCTTTGTTCTTCAAACCCCAATCCCAGCATGCCTGCATATCTGTACACACACGTTCCTCTCACTTCAGAAATGCCTACAACACCTCTTTGCCATGCACACATTTCTCCTACATCTCAGTGCACCCTACAGCGCATGTCACGTTTTTTGTACCTGCACGCAAAATTCACAGAATTCACAGAATCACTAGGTTGGAAGAGACCTTCAAGATCATAGAGTCAAACCCAACACCTCAACTAAACCATGGCACCCAGTGCCACATCCAGCCTTTTTTTAAACACATCCAGGGATGGTGACTCCACCACCTCCCCTGGCAGATCATTCCACAACTTTATCACCCTTTCTGTAAAAAACTTTTTCCTAATATCCAACCTATATTTCCCTTGATGCAGCCTGAGACTGTGTCCTCTGGCTCTGTCAGCTGCTGCCTGGTGAAAGAGACCAACCCCAGCTGACTACAAACACCTTTCAGGAAGTTGTGGAGAGTGATAAAGTCACTCCTGAGTCTCCCTTTCTCCAGGCTGAACACACACAGCTCCCTCAGCCATTCCTCACAGGACTTGTGTTCCAAGCCCCTCACCAACCTAACCGGCCTCCTCTGGACGTGCTTAAGCATCTCAACGTCCTTCCTATGCAGAGACGCTCCATTTTCAAAACAGGTTATTTCATCACCGATCCCAAACTGCAAAACCATAATAAGGCTGCATTTGTCAGTGACAAATGTAGAGTAAGAGACAAAGGCAGAGTAAGAGAAGGCACAAAGGTAGAGTAAGAGAGGGAATGCAGACCCCTCCCAGCCAGCAAGGCTACCTTGATCCGCCGGATGCTGATCACCGACTCGGACACTCTCTCCACGGCCGAAGGGAAGAACAGGGTCACTGTGAGTCTCACTGCTCCATACAGGGACACTGCCACAAACACCCTGCTCGCAGAGATGACATTCCCAAGTAGGACATATGCCATGAAAGTCATGAACACTGTAATTTTGCTTGCCACAAAGAACGAGGCTAAGTTCAGTCCTCGAAGGTAAGAGCTTTTCATAACCATTGCAATCTCCTTCCTAAAAATGCAGAACATAAACAAATCAAATCAATCTCTCCCATTACTGCTACCCTCAACAACAGGATGAGGGAAACTCCCCATCAGGATTCTACTTTCACATCCTTTCTCCTCCCCTTGTACCACCCCAATTCAAATGCAAACAACAGTGATGAAAACATGTTATATGGTAAATAACAAAACAAAACCAAAACCAAACCAACCTAAAAAACCCACAAAAACCCAAAAAATCAACCATTATTTAAGAGGCTTGGAAATTCAAAGGAGAAATTCATTATATTTATTATCTTAATAGCTATAGAAAACAATTATTTTTCAGAGTCAGAAAACTAACGTACTATTTTTTTCTTCCCTAGTCAAACTAGTATTTTAATTCAGATTCTAATCTGCTGCAAATATTTTTGGCCTGCATGCAACAGCGAAGAGGAAAAAAAAAATCTGTATAAAGGCCAAGCACCCACAAAATCCTTATCCTTCCAATATCAAAATACACTGGAGTTCAGTCACAAAACTCATGACAAGATGAACACGTACTCTGCAGTCAAAAAAACCAGGGCAATCTCCAGAAGATCAAGAGTTTGCCCATGGCCCAAGTATCTGCCATTATTCAGCTGCTGCTCCTCAAGCTATACCACAGGAATTAGAGTATTTCCTTTCATCTCAGTCTAAATCCCTCCCAATTTGGACCCTGCACCTAGCTTCTTTTGCTCTAGGAATTCAGGTTCATAAATTAAGAAAACACTGACCTGTGAGGCCAACTGTTGTGCCAGTCATTGCCCAAGCTAAAGAGTGACTGAAGTATTGCACAGACACATAAGTCTCCCTCCAGCAACTCAAAAGCTGCTCATGCATTTGTTCTCAATTTCCATTTCATTTAATTGCAGTTTCCACTTCTAAATGACTCAATAAGTCAAATCCTCAAAATATTACAACACTATCATCCACTACAATGTGGATGCTATCAGACTTACCTCCTTATTAAGATAACAATTTTTCTTTATCAAAACAGCTAAAACAACTTACTCCTTCCCCACATATTCTACTTTTTGTCTACTTAATACTATCAAATATGAAATCCCAAAATAATTTTTAATTTCTTTCCACATATTCTGGCAATTCTCTGGCAAATTTTTAATAATTTTGATCACCTTCCACTTGGAACTATACATTAAGATTAGAAACTCAAGTTGTGATTATACAGTTTGAAGTAAATTAAGTAACCACTTAAAGAAGAAAACGATGCAGGATGCACTACTGGAAAACTAGTTAAGCAACTTTCCCACTGTATTTGCCAAACTGGCTGAACTGACAGACTTTTAGAGTTTCAAAGACTTCTTTTTTCAGCTTAAGGGTTCACCATCTCTAATCTCCTCCAGAGTACAGAGAAGGAACATTTGTATGTAAACTATTTGAATTGGGTCTAATTCAATTACTTCTACAACCCTGGATGAAACTCTTTTCCCACCCTTTAATAATCCTTAATAATCCTCTCATTATCTGTGGATAATCAGCAAATTTTTTGAGCTACTCTCCAGAAATACCAGATAACGGCAGCCTACCTGCAGGCTGCATATAATAAATATTACATTGTCTTGAAGCACAAACTTGCATAAAAGGAAACTGATACAGACAGATACAAGAGAAAAAGAGAAATGGAGGAGTTCAGATGGCATTTCAGCCACTGTCAAGGGTCAATGTTGAAATACTGGACAATAAAGTACCTGGCTAAATTTAAGAGTTTTAATTATAGTTTTCCACAACACAGCTCGAGAAAGAAGGCTCAAGGTGTGTTCTAGAAACTCTCATTTCTTTCCGACACTAAAAAGGAAGCCTCTAATCCTAATGAGGTGTTGAACTTGGAAATCTAAAATTTAGTGATGTGAATACAACCCACTGAGGAAGCTTTCAAAAAAGAAATATTCTTTCTGGCTCCATCCAAGACACAAAAGTTTCCCATCAGTCATGAACATTCAGTCAGCACAGGATCCTACAATCCAACAGAGGAAAGCAATTACGTGCATGGGAAGGAACATCTCAGGGAACATTTGCAAGTTTGCAAGCCTGCACATGGATGTAAAGGAAAAAAATTCCTTTCAAGAAAAGGATTTCCAAAATTAACATTTAAAACTAAAAAAAGTGAGATAATCTGCAGCAGGATACCAACCTTCTATTCATATGCTGGAGGGGTACATGACATGAAAATCAGTTTATAAGAAATATGCACCCAAACTCCTACAGTTAACCTTTAGTACTGAATGCTGTTACAGTGTTAAGTAAAAGGGCAAATACTGACTGAAAATCAAATGTATTAGTATGTTTTAATCTGATGTCAAAGAACCTCTGAAATTAAATGTCTTAGGATACCAAACTCAGCTGGCCTTGCCAGTTGAATAACAATGGAATTTCTGATCTGCTGTCTTTCCTCCTTCTTCCTTTCCCAGGTGGCTTGAATTTTTTATGCTTCCTTTCCCAGGTGGCATAAAAGGAGGGTAAAATTGCTGCGTTACAACTACTACAGCTTATTAGTTGCTCATTTTGAACACAACTGTTAAAAGAAGCACAAAAAAGTCTGAAGGATTTTTAAATTTTTTATTCTCTTAGAATATATCTTCATTTCTCCACTGTTGCTATATAAAAATTTTTTAAAAGCTCAAAAACTGCATGCAAACTGCATTTTAAAGCACGAAATAAAGCATTTATTCACATGCACAGAATGGAAAATGACACTGATCACACATCAAGCTGTATCTTTCCAGGATTACCTTCTTAAACCATTCACAAGTTCCGCAAATGATTTTTCCCAAGCGTACATCTTTATTATCTTCATACCGCTTATCACTTCATTCATGGTCCTAATCCTGACATCTGTTAAGGCAGCTGTCTTGCTTCTGAAAATACGCAAAGGAAAAATCCTCAGATTCTCTAAAGAAGACTATTTATGAACACACATAACATATGTATGAAGTTTTTGCTTTTATTTCTAAAGACGATTCACAAAACTGTAATTGCATTAAAGGGTTTTCCTGAAGACCAGTATCTTAAAGCTGACACACAGCAGACACACTTGGTATGTTTGATTCCTGCTTCTCAGGGAACTGAGAGCTGATTCAATGTTCAGGACTGTATGTCAGTTTGTGCAAACACGCAGTACTCCTTAAACAACATATCCGCTGTTTGTTGCATTTAGAACAAAACAAAAATCAGAAAATTACTTTTAAAAGATTTCAAAATGCCAAAACAACCACACTTGTTATAAAGTTCTCCTGATGTTGGTAAAGAAATTGGCCTTATTTGTGACTTTTTAGGATTAACTATAGTTGAAGCAGAGATTACTTAGTACATGAGCAATAATTCATTAGATAATCTAGATATGGTTTCTTTAAAAAAAATTATTTAATCATTAGTTGTAACTAACACTAATTTAAATATATCTATTTTAGTCCCACACTATGTTTGTACTGATAGAAAAAAATGAATACTATATATAATTAAATAATAAAGTCACCATTTTAATTAGGAAAAAGGCATTGAAAGTTAGCAGCCACATAATAAATGCATAAATCATGCTAATAGACCCCATTAAAATTCTGAATTCATTCATGTAGACAAACACTTTGCACATGGAGAACTATGGTAGATCTTATTTTGATAAAACATACCTTTACCTTCTAAATTACTTATTTTTGCATATAACAATGAAAGTTAAGATTCAGAGATCATTAAAAAAATTCAAATCTTTTTAGAAGGCATGACTTTTTAGAAGGCTTTCTCAGCTTAACTTGTCCCCTGAAAGATCTCTCTGATACACTGGAAGAAGTCACCATAATTAAAGAATGCAAGCTGAAAGAATTTCAAGCACCTACTTGTCATTTCAAAAAACTTCTCAGCACCAGCATTCCATAAATGTTAGGACGGCTGAAGCAGGGTATTAAAACATATTTATACAAGGGAAATAAAAAAAGGCATTTAGAAACTTAGCCCCAGTGTAATCATGGATTATTAATAACACTGAGGAAAATAACTTAGACTAAACCAATCACATCAACATGGAATGAGATTGTCTTTGCTATTTCATCCTTCCCCTTTTTCAAAAAGAAACAGTCACAGAAAAAAATTTCTTAAATAATGTAATAGCTCATCATTTCTTCCCCATACACACACCACCACTGGAAAAGACAAAATTAGAATGTGTTGCTCATGGCTCTGCAGCAGCAAACAACTCTCACCTACAATCCTGAAAAGTCACCTAACTTCCAGGCTTTGTCTCCACATAATAGAAAGTTGAAGACGATAGATTAAATAATAAAGTTAACAGAGGTTTCTTTTTTAAAATGGTGTGACTCAAAAAAGGCTGCAGTTCTCATAAACCAATTTTTCAGTTTTCCTGCTGAAATGTCACAGTAACCATCCTGTTTCAAATTGCTTTAAAATGCTCAGGAGGTTGGGGGAGTGGTCTTCTTAAAACTTTTTCAAGGTTACACTCCCATACTTTGCAACAAGTATATTTTGTACATATATTCCAGAAGCCACAGGCTTAGTGATGTTGTATAATGGCTTGAAGTATAGAGACATCCAGTGCACTGATGGCAAATTACTGCAGAGAAAGAAATGTCCCCGATTCCAAAAATATTAAGTTCAGAGTACAAACAGATCAGTCCAATACATGCTCACATAGCATGTCAATAAGAAAGTGCAGTAAGAAAGGACCTGAAAATTTTTGTCTGAGAAGACCTCTCTATGATACTGAAAACCATTCTAAATTAATCTAGCTGCAAAATTCCTTTTTGCTTTCACAAGGCATCTTTGGTGTGTTTTAATTATGTCTGACACAGCAGTTAGACACAGTTTTTATCTTCAGGAAAAAGGACTTTAAAAATACTACAGTTGCATGACTAAGCAATGAAAGCATCCAGCTCTTGTGAATAAAATACATATAAAATGGTCTTCAGTCCAATAACTGAACTGCTTCTCAAATAATATATTGGGTCATGTGTATTTTGCACAACTTCTCATACTTGTGCAAGTAAAAGCAATCCTGCAGAGTGCAGTGGATACCATTCCACAGGATACCAAATCCATGTCTGCAAACTCCCAGAGCACTGAGGCCAGAGGCTGCACCATGAACTGGTGTTCATGCATGCTGACACGACTGAGTCACAGAACAATGCTGAATAACAGCACAAATTAACTGCCACACCAAGCATGCTCGGATTTTAGCAAAAGCTTTAATCCTTAAATTACTTCTTCATAGGCTGCCTTCCTTAAATCCATGCAGATTCCCAGCAAATGCCATGTGAACACACTCATCAGCTCACTCTGAGCTAAAATCTATTCCAGTTTTACCATTAACTCCTTCTGTTCATTGGACATTTCTGTTCACAAAGAAAAAGATCTGTGCACATGGAGACAAGCAGAAGCTTTTCTGGTTAACAAATTATTTCCTTTGCACTGCATCCAAACAAGTGGTTGTTACTGAATGGGTAAAAACCCCAAACACTGTTACACTGCCACTGATTAATTTTTAAAAGACATCCCCTCAGGAAAGAGATTTTTGTCACCCTATTGTCTGACCCTGGAAAAATCCATTAATCACTTTGTGCCTCAGTTTTCCATCTGTAAAATGGGGTTACTAAAGCCTGCCACCACAGATAAAGCACTAGCTAAGCACTAACTATTTTAATTATTGACTGAAACCTCAAAAACTTAGAACTCATGAAAAACAGCAATGAAGCAGCTTGATGCTTCTGCACGCATATTGCACATGCAGTGAAAATACACATCTAAGAACATATAGTAAGTGTTCTACAACCAGGCTTTATCATAAAAAGAAAAGCCCTTAGAATTTGACAGAGAACTCTGAATGGATCATTATTTGAGAAATAGCCCTTGAGCATTATTTGAGAAACAGCACATGAATGCAACAACTGAAGACTACCACACTGGTTATAAATGAAGAGGTGCACAAGTTGTATTCATTTTTTAATTCTCATCTCTCTCTTCATACCTGGCCATGCAGTGGCAATGCCAGGCTCAGTATATCTAGAAAATTTGTCTTGAAATACAACTTGAAAAAAACCAACAGTAACTCGCTTACAGAAATTTTACTTACCCAAAGAGCTAAAAGGAACCCATTCAACAAAAAGATGCAAAGAAAGATGCCTAACACTACTAAGCATATGTGTACAGATTAAAGAACACAAAAATATTTCCAATTAGGTGTAAAAGCCTTTTATAAAGTCATAATGTAAGTCAAGCATGACTAATTACACAAGAAACACAAAACCTGGATGCAAGAACTTGCCTCAACAATCTCAACAGAGGCAAGTCTTGCTGGGTTTTTTCAGGATAAAGCTACAGAAAAACAAATTAAATTTGTCTGACAGTGGAAAATTACTTCAAACTTATCTCCACGGCCTAGAACCTTGCAGCTGGAAACCTCATAGCTGGCATCAAAACCCCCATGATAAATTTTTCTTCCCTTCTCTCTCAGTTCCTTCCTCTTTTTTCCTCTCTGCAGCTTAGTCATGGAGGAGAGAGAGCAAGATCTTTGAACAAGAAACTTCCAGAGCCTTCTGCTGCAACACCTGTGTCACCCCAGTAAGTCACACAGAGAAGGGCTGACTACATCCCCTGTGGAGTAACCACTCCCCAAGAATTCCTGCAGGAAGGCAAAGCTCAGGTTCCACAATTCTATGCCATGACCTACAGCAAGGTAGCTACAGAAACAGCCAGTCTCTTTTAATGCACTGGATAGCTAATAAATAGCAGATATTTTCAACATGTTTGGATGACAGACCACTTCAAGTCCATAATCTGGAATTCAGATGTCTCACATTAGCAGCTCTAAAAAACATGGGCAAAGATAAGAGACACTGCAAAAAAATACCACCAGACACATGCTGATACTCTGACTCCACCCAATATGCACATTTTGAAATCCAACACAGAAAACAGCTACAACCCAAAACATGCAGCCTTACCTGAGGGAAGAGAAAAGCCTCCCAATGCAGGTCTGCACAGGAAGAAGAATAATCAGAACTGCCATTCCTGCAAGACATGATGGGCCTATTTCCATCCAGAGAAGTACTGTTACTGCTATAGCTTGAAGTGGTCCAGCCCACAAGAAGTGCAAGAAAATTGTTACCTAAACAAATAGTTAAGAATCAGAAATTAACTTTTAATCTTAGCTAACAAATTAACTCCCGAGTAACATTTAGGAAGTACCTCTGCCTATGGCAAGGCCAGGTTGGATGGGGCTATGAGCAAGTTGCTAGTGGAAAGTGCCCCTGCCCATGGCAGGGAGCTGGAACAAGACAATTTTTAAGGTCCCTTCCACACAAAACATCCTATGTTTAAGAAACAACTAGAAGAAATGTTCATTAGAAACATTTAATCACCAATTTTAAACAAAACTTTCTTAACTCCAATCCCACAATTTCTTCAGCCCCTTGGAAAGATCTGTAAAACACTCCTTACTTGATCAAATTTGTTGACATCGTTTGACAGCAGGTTTACTATCTGACCAGTGGTAGTTTTCGCCATAGCCACATTGCTGAGACGAAGTGCCTAAAAAAGTCAGAACAATTCAAACTATCACAGCTTGTAGAGCACAGTACACCTATATACACAAGATACATAAATACAGTACCAGGGCTAAAGCTGAAGCCACATACCTTTTGCCTGAGAGCACTGGAGCCTTAAATAAAATGAGAATTAGACTAAATATCCTAAATAAAGTCCCGAAGAAAAAAGTATTAAAAAAAAAAAGGTCAAGGGAAGGACTGTGAGAATAAAAATGCCCTATCCTCATGTCTGAAGTGATCAAAAATAGGAAAATACCAACACAGCAAGCCACTAAGCAAAAGAGCTGTAACTTTCCATGTGCATTGTTCTCCCCCTCACTATGAGCGTCTGTACAAAACAGGAACAGAAAACTCCACCTGAAGGCCAGATTAAAGTCAGAACAGTGTTTGGCCAATTGAAACAATTTGTTTTGAACATGTTATCAGACAGAAGGCAAAAATACCCTCAAGTTATTAATTTCAGACTATCTCTGCAAATCAGTGTGTCCCTTTACAAATCACTAACTCTAGAAAAATTGTAATTTTCCTGAATTATGTAAAATGAAGTTTAGCACACACTATAAAAAACAACAGGAGTAAATATCAAGTATTTTTACACATTAGTAAAAAAGTTAGTCAATAGAAAATAAAATGTGTTTATAAAATACCCCCCCATTCCAAAAAATCCCATCTGGAAATATCCTGTCTGAACCTTACTGTAAAGGTCCAAACTGAAATCACTCAAAAACATTAATAACACACCCTGCTTCCTCCTACACCTGCTAAAGAGAAAACACAAGTTTGCAGCACAAGTTTAAAAAAATATACAAAGCACGTTACATGTTTTTCTGTACAAAAATAGTTCACTCCTCAAAAACACTTCACATTTTTAGGCAGTTCACATCTACTTCTCCCTCTCCAAACATTGTTAGAGTTGCTTTTTGGCCAATAATCAAACCTGAAAAGCGCTGATTGTTTCAAAAATACTGTTCCAGTATTTTGAAACAAGTAGAAGAACATCAGCCATCAAAGTACTATTCAAGGCATAATTTCAAACAAGGCTCCTTACATTTCTGTCGTGTCACGTTTGTGTTAGAAAGAAATTGTTAATCACAGACAGAATCCCAACCCTAACTTCATTGAAACCAGCAGAAACATTGAAAGGCAGAAGCCTTTAAAACTCCATTATGAAATTCCTCTTACATTCCAAAAAATAAATCTAGGATACTGGGTATATGAAAGATCAGATTTAGTTATTTGAGCAAATTATTGCTTCATTCCCTGTCTTAAGCCACGTGCCTCTCATCCACCTGAAATCCTCCAGGTAGCTGCCTGCTGCTATCATGTTTGCTCCACATCACACATTAAGGTGGTAAGCTCTGAGAAAAGATGTTAGAAATGCACAGAGCATAGTAATAGGAGTTCACATGATGCATGTTTGGGGAAGTTTCCCATCAGGATGTGTTTACAGCACCTCTTATATATTTGCTGCCTGAGGTTGTACAACATATTTGCTACCTGAACCATCAGAAGACTGCGTGTCTTCCTAGTGGCCCATGGCCTGGGTCTGTCTTGGACCGGCCACACAAGCACCTTCCTGACTTCTTCCTAGCTACTTCTACACAAGCAGCAAAGCCAGTTTTAATATGATTCTATGAGTCCAGCTCATTGTGACCAAGACAGTCTCAGGAGGAACCACACAAGCATTTGAGCCAAAAGGACGGCGCTCGTCTGTGACTGATTTGTCTTCTGAGGGAAGAGGCAGCCATTCCCACAACCAGTGGCAATGCAGTTTTAGTATTTCCTTGATCCCCTCTTGGTTTGGATTATTTCCTTTTTTTTTTAAAGTGAAATAAGCTTTGCATTTTCCTGACAGAATGGATCTGTCTTGACTGCAAAGTAGCAGTTTTACTTCCATAACCAATTTTTTACCAAAAAGTCCTTTTTGGTACCTTCCTCTTTTTTACTACATCTGATACATAGCCCCATATGAGCTGAGGAAAACTCAAATTCCAACCCAGCTAAAGTCAGTACACTGACCTCAAAGAACTTCTAAAAGCTAAGTCTTAAAAAAACAAAACCAACAAAAACCAGTTTCCCAAAGTAGCCTTTGATTTCAAAACGTAAGATTCTGAGTCATCATGTGCCAGATTTCACTTTCATTTTTGTTAGGAGTTTTCTATGTGCATCACTAATACTTCTTACTGGTACAAAACTTCTTAAGTGTTTGAATACAGGGATTTTGCAAATTAGATCTGAACTTTCCAGGAAATGAAAACGGTCTAAAACTTAAGAATTATAAACATTTGAAGTTCTCTATTAAGAATGCTCTCTCTCATCCAATCTATTCATCCTTACAAATCCAAGATTTTATTTTCTACAGCAATTAACAAACTCTGCTAGAGTGCTGGTAAATAAACACCCAAGTTTCTTTCAAAAGCCTATATGAGGCTAAAGAGAAAATATGACCTATATATAGGCATCACATAACGAAGACAAATTATTAGAAAGGTTTGTCAATGTTCTGCTGTTACCTCAACCCTCACCCTCAGAAGTAAAAATGAGGGCTGATTAATTTTCCATTTAATCACATCTCTAGAAACAAGGGTGCATATTAGAAATAGTTCTTTTCCAAGCTTCTAAGCCAGTATCAACTCAACAACAAACACCATGACTATGTCCACTTTCCATTAATTCTGTTTTGACAATCAGTTTGGTAAATTAATACCTTAGAGAGATGTTTATGTACAAGAAAGCATTGTGCCATGCTAGAGGCAAGTTCCCAGAGGATCCTTTTCAAGGTATCAAAAGAGAACAAATGTGTGTATGAAAAGTAACCACTACTTAAAATGGGGACATTTTTACTCTCCTCACTTTACTGCTTTGTCCAAAAACTTCACATGACCTACACCAGTAGTATAAATGTTCCTGTTAAATTGATGGTACCTATGTTTAATGGTTAAAATAATGTGGATTTTTTTACATTCCAAAGCAAATGTGCAATCCTGATTCTTCAATTAAACTTCTTTGCTGAGGACTGAAATTGTAGGTCACTATTCCAGCAGCACTGAAAATAGAAAGTGCTTGGGGCATTTTCCCTTCCAGCATTCTCAGTAGAGATTTCCCACTTGGAAGCAGACAGGCTCACAGTTTGGGTATTGCCAACAGCTTCAGAAGAGTGAACCAGATATTTACAACTGAGCTGCTTGCTGCCCAGAGCACATCAAGGAGAGCATTTCATCCTGAATGGTGCTCAGCTCCTTCCTGTAGGTAAAACTCAACTTCTCTTGCTCCACTTTCCCTCTGACAGCAGCTTCAACTCCATCTGTAGTTCAGGACAGCTATTTCTTGATCAGGACGCAGAGACAGCAAAGAAACCACTGCTCCCTGAACATCCCTTCTCACATTTCACTGGTTTCAGTGGAGGGCTGCAGTACTCCCACAATAAAACCAGTAAATGGTAATAAAAAACTAACTCCCTCCCTTTAGGATTCCACTTGATTCTGAACTGTGTCTCCTCCACCTGCTCCTCTCTCTCTTCCTCCTCAAACAGAAGGGATAAAAGTGAAGATGCCAAGCATCCCTGCCTGCCTGGAGGGGGAAGGAGCTGTTCCACAGAACTGCTGCCACTCCCCAAGGGAAGCTGATGGATGCCCCAAGGGAGGAGATCAGCCTCTGATCTGCAAAGAAGACAACCTACTAGTTATACACCACCGATGGGATAAAATATTAATAAATCTCACCATTAACTACAACAGGGGTGGGGGGAAATCTAGACAGCAAAGCAATTCCAAGGAGACTGAGAGTGCTGCAGCAGATGGTGACATCCAAGCACCACGTCCTCCCCCGGGATCATACTGCAAGGCTGAGTAGCTGCCAGCATTCCCTGGGAGCTCTGTCCCTCTCCTGCTCTATGCAGGGGGGCCTTCTCTCCAACCGCAGCAGGAGGCAAAAAAAGGAGCTCTTCCAAGACTTTAGGGCTATTTAACTCACCACCTTCACTAAGCAGGCCTGAAGCTGTCATTCAGACACCTCAGCACCAAAGAGAAAGCAAAGCCACATGCACACATCTGAGGCCTGACACATTCCACATGCATTAGGTCTCTATTAATGAGTAACTTCAATGGAATTGCAATCATGGGCATAACAAATAACTGCATTGTCACTGTTAGGTTGGATGTGACTAGGGTCTAAGAAGAAAAAAGTTTTTACTTTGCATGCTTTCTAGCTTATATACTCTTACCAAAGCATAATCTTAAGTCATTAACTACATCACAATAACTTATTATATTCATTGGTGCAAAGCAATTAACATTAATATAATTGGCAAATTAACATTAATATAATTGGCAAAAGTTTTACAGAAATTTAATAAGGTACATATACACACCTACTTATGCACATAGTCTAGCTTACAAAAATTTTAACGTATCTTTCCTAATCTGTTTCCATGCTGATGGCCTCTGTGCTATGCACTCAAAAATCATCAATTGTTATTTCTTCTATTAACTCAGTTTTGCTTGCAGGCCAGCTGTCAAGCCCCTCCATGCTGCATTTTTAAACTCCCCTGAGAGAACAGCAGTCAAATACAAAACACAGCTGTGAACAGGTCTGCTTACCTTCCGATAAATCATGTGACACATGGCCACCCTCAGCTTCATGCCAGCCCTCTGCACGTGGTAGAAGTACAAGTGGTGCATGATAGCCAGGATAAGCGTGCACACAGACAGAGCACCTGCGTACCAATATGCAGAATTCCTCCTCTGAAAATATGATGCCTCATCTGAGGCATCGTAGTTTTCAAAATAATTAATAATTTTTCCCAAAAAAATTGGTTGAATTATTTTGAGGGTTTCCTGAAAGAGAAAAAAGGGGGGGAAAGTATTAGTCATTTCCTATCACCCCGTGCTAACCAAGTCTGCACACAGGCAAACAAGAGCCAAGTACTGCTGCAAGCCATATCCCTTATTATTTTGTCTTTATTGTGCTCTAAAATGTCAAGCCAATTTTTATCAACACATAATCCAAAAGAAACATGTTCCACATTAAAATTTACCAGGAACTTCAAGGAGAACTCTCTCAATTACCAAAAAAACCACTTTGATGTTATAAAAATTGCATGAGTATGTATTACACTTTCATTTTTTTAAATGCCATGTGTCCTTTAGAGCCACTTACAAAGAGCAAAAAATCCTCTTTCTATTAGGCACCCTACTCAGATACATAAAATACAGATAAGCCTTACAAAGCAAGTCAGAGGTTTGCAATGTCTCAAAAATAATGCACTGAAATGAGCTCTCTGCTCCACTTCCATAATCCTGCAGTCATGACTCAGTTTTTCAGTCTCTGCAGGGCTATAGCTCTGTTTTACCTTCCTGAGAACATTACCAGGTTCTCTGAGCAGTCCAGGAAGTCACCAGTACATGTCACGCAGTCTAAGTGGACAAGTTTCACACTGCTCTTAGCCAAGAAGGAGGTCCTGTGACATTTTACACCACTTACCTCAATCATTGTGAAAATTCCAAAAACTAAATAGGATTTCCAGTAGCACAGAATAATGGCTTTTGTTAAATGTGGTGTTTTTCCTCTCTTTTTTGCTTTTTGCACCTCTTTATCCCAGTACCTGACAAACAAAGTGCAAATATGTTGGGGGACAGAAATAAAATCACAAGGCAGTTACCTAGAATAAAACACTTTCAGACTAACAGCTAGATTGCCCTGATCACCTTAATAAAATCAAATCAAACAAAAGGAATTAATCATGTCTTCTCAGTCATATAAACACTTGGTACTTAATATTACAGACCTATTTGCTCTTGGTTAATCACAAACAATTCACCACTGTTGAATATTATCACCATATCATCATATTTGCTGATGAGGAACCCTTCCTGTATCTCTTCTCCTCTCAGTTCAGTCACCACTCACCTTAATTAAGAGCATCCTATCCTATGGTGCCCTGACCACGGACTAAACTGAGGCAGGACAGTGTCTTTATCTATCCATATGCCCTGTGCTTGCCCAGAGGGGTTGTGATGTCCAACCCTTTCTCATGGCTGGCCCTGTCTTTTTTCTACCACATGCTTTGCTGAGGATTTTGTCACCCAGCACTTCACACATCTCTCTGAAGGCGAGGATTCATCAGCAGAGTGGCAAAGACCTTTCCATCACCACTGAGCAGGGCACAATCTGTTCACATAAAAACCAAAGACAGCAATAACATGCACAATTTTAACAAGAAAGTATCACAACTTCAGCAGACTTCTTAAAACACACTGATGTCACAGAGAAACCTCTGCCTTTCTTCTGAAGGCTAAATGTTTTCTGCCATACCTCTGACCTTGATAGTTTGAGGGGTGAAATGAGTCTAAGGCATGAAAGGCAATTATTTTGCAACAAAGCACAAAAGTTCAAAGCATTCCAACAAGAACACATTTTTTTTTATTTTTACCCTCTTTTTTTGTTACAAGAATTACAGAGTTATTGTCTGCATGCTTTGAAAACAGAAACTATGCAGGTTCTGTGAGGTTTCTTGGCTCAAGAGAAAAGACAACTTCTGTAGCAGCTATTCATGAATTATATTCTCTGCTTCTTGGTCAAGTACACTGAAGAATTAAAAACCACTCTTTTTTTTTTCTTCTACCATTTCCTGACTCATGCAAGTATGTTCTTTTGCTATAAAAAATCATTGGAAAAAATCCATCTTCCCTACAGCCAAGTCCCTGAACTGCTTGAAGACACAACCATGGCTTTATAGCTCTCCAGCTATAAAGACATTAAAAGCAGCAACTGCTATGAGCTTATCACCAACCCTCTTTCCTCAGTTAACTTATCCAGAGCAGGATGATGTCAGACCTGGCCATAACCTTTAGTTTCTGGATTCTTTTTGCTTCTTGAGGAGTCTCTCATCCCAACCAAACTACAGGAAAGTCCATCTGCTCTGCCTTCAGTGTTACAGCAAGAAACAGCAAGGCAACGCTTTCTTAATACAGAAGCCACCTTTCATTAGGAGGCATCTTCTCCTCTAACTACATTTAGCAGAAGATTATTTGAAGACAAAAATCCTCTCTGTTGGAAGGTTCATGACAATTTATATAGATAGTAATTATCTGAAGATATTTTCCTACTAAAATATATATCCTCTGAGCCCATAGCACTACACATCAGTACAAAGTCCATGAAAAAGTATTGAAGCCAAATAAAAACACATTCCTAGGTACATGCTTTTAGCTGTCCAAGGCATCTTGCCCACTCTACCAGTGAGTGCCAGATTTTCAACATACATATATTTATACATACACATATATTTAAAGGGTCACTTAATTCAGTTTGCACTCCAAACAAACAAACAAAGAAACAAACAAAAAAATGAAATAGACAACTTTTTTCTTTACTTTTATACAGAGCAATTTAAAGTTTCCACAGCTGTTTTACCACAGGCCAGAAGACTCACACATTTATTAAGGATTACTACCATTACAGTTGATGAAAAGTTGTCTTTTGCAAGCATTCTGCAAAGTGTCAAATTAATTATAAATGACATAATGGAATTACTCTAATGCAGTTCCATTATGTATAACTTGAAAAAATCTAAAAAGCCTCTATGATAAACAAGTTTTCTTAGTTCTTGTTGCTCTAAATTTGTCAGCATTTCTAACCTTGTTAAAATTTACAATAACACCTTTTCATTTTAGAATAGAAATAAAATTTTTACCTCCTCCAGCATTAATACAATAATAGAGAACAATTGTGCCTTCCAACCCAAAGCGTTCTACAATTTTTCTCCTTACCACTGCAACTCCTCTCCAAGCTTCTCTGAGGAATCTTCTGGCATCACTTTATACATGTCATCTTCTTCAAGCTTCCGTTTATGGCCGGTAATAAATAAGGGATTCAACCACCTAGTTAAATACAAATTATTAGTAAACTGACCAGCAGACCAAAAAGAGTAACTTCTTTACACAATAATTCTTTTATCCCTTTCTTTTCCCCTCCTGAATCATTCAACATCCACACATTTCACTGCACTTTTATCTAAGAATCAAGTCAACCCCTATCTTGCAAATGTGAAAGTACTTCCCACTTCCTAAATCTCTTTATGTCCATAACACCTTACTCCCAGGCATCCAGACAGCCAGCATAACAACCCCTCTTGGCCCTAAGGGAATTGTTTTCTCACAGTGTTTCCTTACACTCAAGGAAAAAATAGCATTCCTTTAAATATGAAGGGAAAAAAACGAACTTAACCCAACTATTAAAATACTGAAAGCTGTAAATTAAATTGTAATGCACACTAAAAGACATTTTTTGTAACATTTACTTGAGGAGAAAAGTAGCTGCTATTCAACTGACATCTTGACAAGTATTAAAGGTCAGAAATTTAAAGACAATCACTGAAATGTAAAAATGGGAAAACAATGGGTTATTACCATACCTTACTCATGTTTGGAAACATAAACAGAAGCACACTGACACAGTGTGTAGGTTCAAGAAAGGAAAATAATGCCTAACAGCTCAGTTTCCTCAGTGGAAAGATTCTTAAAAGCTCAGCATTTTACGAGAACACTTTGAAGATAAATTATAGTAGCAGTACTGTAGATTTGTTGAAAAACACTGTATTTTGTTAGATCAAATAGGTCAACTGTCAGGGAACAGCAAGAGTAGATTTTTATGCACCTGGATCCTTCAGCCTGAAATACATCAGGGAACTCCAGAGAGTTTCAGTTGTGCCCCACAGAGCAAGCGTTGTATGGCATAAAGCACAAAAGTGACCAAGTTGTCCATGAGATGGAGAAAAAGGGAGTGATACGTGCAAAACAGGAATGGCTGAGCAGGAACAATGAAGTTAGGGAACTTGCAGTTTTCCATTTAGTTTGTCTCTCTGCTGAACTGGAGATATTTTGTTTCCAGGAGACGTGGATTTTGGCTCTAAGGCTTTTCCTACAAGTACTTTCTCAACTGGTTAACACCATCAAAATCAAAAAGTCAGGGATCTGTTTTGGAAAAAATACTCTTGCACACAAGGCAAGCTGTCTGTCTGATCTCAATTGCCTGCGAAAGTTCTTAACTGCTGCTTAGTTTCTGATACTTATTTACTCCCCAACTTCACCAACACAGCTCTTAAAAGAAGTGTGATGTGCTAGGTGAAGCATGTTATTTTCTGTAAGACCTACATGTGAGATTTCAAAACTGGGGTGGTTTACATTGAAGGTATTTATTTATTCACACCACAACAGTGGTTATAAATACTCATCAACTTGCTCTACATTTCTTGCTCAGGCATGTTCTAACTAAACTTTGTATACACTGGCTTACAAGAAGGTTGTTGGCTAGTTTTAGAGAGGGTGGATGGGCAAGCAGAACCCTAGAGAGGAGGCCCAGAGAGTTTCTTCAAAGATAGCTCTGTTGTAAAAACCTTTTTCCCAGGCTCCATGGCACAACTGCAAGTAACAAATGGGATTATGTAGTGTTGTTCCTTCACTACTTAGCATGTTACCACAGTGTTTTCGTGACTCATTCTAAAAATTAGGTCTCTATCCTTAGAGTAGCACCTTTGATGCCTAACAGCCCCTTTTAAACTCTTGGAGTGAGTACTGAAGATTTGTTTATGTGAGCTGTTAACTATTAAATGCATTGTACAATTAGAAACAGAAAGGACTTGTCAGACAAGTCTGTTGCTGGGACTTAATGGTTAAATAGCACCAGGGCCCAAATCACTACCACAGCTTCCCCACAAAAGGTCCTGACAAAAGGTCTCAAATACCAACTGCTCCAGCCAGGGGCAGAACTTCTGCCAGGTTTGACACCAGGAATCTGCTTCATTGAAACATGTCTTCTTTGGCCTCAGCTCTTGCAGACCACAGGTGAAAAGCAGCTATGAGGCAAATAACCTCAAAGCCATTCAAATAATTTCTACCTGCTGGATGAGATAGACTCTGTTTGTTCGAGGACAAGCAGGAAAAAAATTGGAGACTTCAGCTGAGGTCAATACCCAGTGTTCCTCCTCTTGAAACATCAGTATTAGCCTAGGATGCATCCATAAACAAGTCACAGGTCTCCTTTCAGACACAGGCTAAAGTTATCTTCCTCCTAGCATGAGAATCAGGATGAGGCAGGCCTTTCAGGAAAATACAAAGGCTTAATCCTTCTCCCACCTACGGAAATGGTTGTGAGATTTCACTGGCTACTGCTGCCAGGGTGGTGAAAAGAAAACTGGTTCTGACATTTAACACGGAACACAAATAGGATATTTATTACAGAATCACAGAAAGGCTGGGGTTGTGTCAGAAGGGACATCTGGAGGTCAGATGGTCCAAACCCTTCTGCTCAAGCAGGGCCACCTAGAGCTGGCTGTCCATGACAATGTCCTGACAGCTTTTGAAGATTTCCAGGATGACTTCATAACCTCTCCAAGCAGCCTACAACAGTGCTTAATCACTGCTGAAACAAGTGTTTCCTGATGTTCAGAGGGAACCTCTGGTACTCAGTTTGTGGCCCCACTGCCTCTGATCCCACTCCTGGACACCACTGAGAAGAGCCTGGCTCTGCCCACCTTCTACCCTCCCCTCAAGTATTTATCTACACTGATGATACCCCCCGTATCTTCTCGTCTCCAGGATGAACACTTCCAGCTCCCTCAGCCTTTCCTCCCAGAAGAGATGTTCCAAACCCTTAATCATTGCTGTGACCCTTTGCTGTGCTCTTTCCAGTGTGTCCATGCTCTCGTGTACTGGGGACCCCAGAACTGGATTCAGGGCCCCAGCTGTGGCCTCAGCAGTGCTGAAGACAGGTACTTTCTGCAGGCAGCAGAGCACATACAGGAAAACAAAAGACACTTTGGAAACAGACTTAAATATACCGTCTTAAAAAATAAAAACAATGCTTTTAATTTTACTGAGTAGAACACCATTCATCTTCTTACACTGCTCAAAAAACCACAGGCAGGCAACAGGAAGAATAATGCCTTCTGCTGAAGGCAGTTGCTCAATCCTGATAGCATTTGATTCCACACTACAGCCAAGAGCAGCACGTGCTGACCACAGATGTGCATTCCACTGCAAAGTAACCCGCTGGAAGACAACACTCTCAAGTGCACAGGACTGCAAGAGCCATCCAGTTTATCCTTCGTCCTTAAACACCCAAAACAACTTACTGATGATATGCCCATGTCCACTGAGGAGTTCTTACAGCTTGCAGTAAATCCCTTATCCCATCTCCACACTGTACCTACAGTGTGAGTGAATTTGAAAAAGATTTAAGGAGCAGAGAGATGACAGTGCAGGATGAAAACTGCCAGAAGTCTCAAGGCTATTAGTTCTAGTGAGACCTAGTGCAACTTCAGGGCTTCTCCCTTTCTTCCATCAGTTAAAACCGTAACACTGAAAAGAGTAATATATTGCACTACAACCTATGTTAACATGAAAGAATGCAAGGAAAACCAATCCAGAGTAAGCAGAAAACTGTAGTAATTCATTTTGTGACTCATTTATTATAATGGACAACATGGCAAAGAGCACAAGTCCACATTCCTGTAAGGTTAGGGAAAAAAATGTACAAAAAACTCCAACAATTAAAAAATTACCCATTGTTGACCTTTCTAACTAGTGTCCCCCAAAATACCCATCTTCAAGAGCTACTGCTATGAAGATCTCAGGAGTAAAAAAAGCTTTTAACAGTATGTTGTATTAACAGAATATAGTTTAAGACCTTTAGAAGAAGGTTAAACATTTTTCTTTTCAATGATGGTTAGTCCTTGAAGGGCTTTTATCCCAAGCATGAGCTCCTCTGCAAACCTTAAGTACAGCAAGAAGAGTTTGAGCATCACCATTTCACTGATGCATCCTAAACTTTATGCTGGAAGGTTTACTTCCAGACAGAAGGCTTAGCACATGCTCCTATTTAGTCATTAATTTAAAAGTTTCCACCTGAATGCCACATGCAGATTATGCCCTGTGGAATTCTCTGCAATCATAGCAGAACTGAGACCAACCTGTTTCACACAGCCCGCTGTTACTCAAGTCACACATTTGTAACCCACAAAAACCAACCCAGCCCTTCTCTTTCCTGAAGGCTCAGTTAAATTAGAGTGCTGTCAGAGGGCTGCTAGAGGAGGCTGACAAATAAAGCAAAGGCCTACATAAAGAATGTCCCTGAAACCCCAACATAGCCGTAAAGGAAAACTACTCAATAGACTGGTATGTCTTTTGTCAGAACAGAGATCAGCTAACACAGATCCCTTCAAAGAGTATTAAAACCAGCTTACAAAAAAAATTAGCATTTGTTAGGAAAACAGAACCTGTGCAAAATGCAGCATTATTTAATAAGAAAGCCAAAATAATAACCTAAATTAAAGAAATTGACTAAATATATAGACAGTCATGCAAACCTCTCCTCTCAGCCCAATGATGGGCTCAATATCAATCTGTTTTATTGGAAGAAGAAGAGGAACAACATGCTGGGGAGGTAAGACTCACACTGCCTTTCTGTATTTCTTTCTGAAGAAGTTGTTCAACTTAAATAAAACCAGGACTCCTTAGTAACTGTCTTTACTTTTCCCAGGTACCCTCCTGTTCGCTAGGAATTTTGAATTTATTTTTTTTCCTACACATTCCTTCATTTTAGTTACTCTTTCAGAACACAGGGTTCACATGATGCCTTCCAAAGAGCTTAGCCCAAATTCTTCCTAGCATGACCTACACAAAAAAATGTGAGAATCTGTAAGAATCCTGAGTACCTTGTGTTCTGCTGGGAATGCCTCTGTTCTATCAAAACAATTAGCTGATCAAAGACATCAGTCTGGAAACATGCCCAGAATGAGTCCCTGGTACTGCCAGAATACTGATGTCACTTGGAATAAAGATTAAAAAAAAAAATTAAAAAATCATTCTATAACCTGGTGCAA